ATCCATCTGGCATGGTGTGAGAAATAATTGCTCAAATGCCCTAGTTTGAAGCGTCCGATGCTACTACAATGGGTGAAGATGGATCTTAATGGGCGAGCAGGAGATCCGAGACTAGTTCTTTCTTGATTCCATCGAAAGCAGCTTGGCAAGTTGCAGACTAATTCCATTTTACATTCTTCGCCAGAAGGTTATTCAAGGGAGCACGTAGTTGATGAAGGTTCGGAATAAAAGCTCCATAATGACTAACTACTCCCTAAAAGGATCGTAGTGTGGTGACATCCGTCGGTCTGGGCAAAATTTTCACTGCATGGGTATTCTCTAGATCTGGTCTACCATCTTTGTCGATTATAAATCCGAGGTAGCGTAATTTTTGCATACAAAAGTTACATTTCTCTGGATGAAGCCGAAGTCCATATCCGGCTATTCACTACAGCACCTGGTTGAGCTTCTTTTCTAAGTCTGTTCTATCTACTCCCATAATTATGATATCATCCAGATAAGCTGCAGCACCTGGAACGTCCTGTAACATAGTATCCATTATTTGCTGAAATATAGATGGGGCCGTCTTGGCTCCGAAGAGTAGTCGATTATACCAGAATATGCCCATGTGTGTGTTTATGGTGAGCAGATTTTTACACTCGTCAGCTACAGGGATTTGTAAACAAGCTTCCGATAAATCCAACTTTGCAAAAACCTTACCTACATTCAGTTTAGCAAAAAGATCTTCAGGTAAGGGTAATGGATACTGATGAGTTTCTAAGGCTTCATTCAAAGGAATAATAAAAAGTATTTAGAAGAATTTTCAGGCCATTTCAAACAACAACAACTCGAATGAAACCTCAAGCCCAGCAAAACAAAACGCAGAACGAAACACGACATCCAAATTGCTACAAAGTGATGCAGTAGATGACTAAGGTCGCGCCATTGCAGCATGTATCTGATTGGTTGCCAAGATAAATGGCGGGAACATGTAATACACTCCATGTAGCACCAATCGGTTTACGACAGTTTGACCTTCAAGAACTCGGTAGCCTCCATCAACGGGCAAAGCCATTGCCTCGTTACCGTAGCGGGCTAAACTGTGTGCTTCTCGTTTCTCTTCCTAGACTGTCGTAATCTGATTGTTGGTTTTTTGCTTTCTTTAATGAATATCAGTGCATCATGTGCGGTAGCTGGGTCGTCGTCTCACCTTTACTTATGTTACTCTCATTTCCAGTCCCCACTCACGCTGTTCTGCATACTTTCCTGGTACACAAAGTACTTTCTGGCTAGACGCAAATCGCTACACTTCCACTAGCATAGGTTATCTATGTGTTCATACGTGACAGTAATGTGTCCTAATCTCCCTACTTTGAGGTTTTCCCCAAAGCCGTAAGAAATTTTCCTCAAAGTTTGGGGAAAAACCACAACGTGTTATAAAATTCTGGGGAAAATGCAAAATAACCCCAAACATTTTGGGGTTTTTCGTCATTTCCCCAAAGTTTTCTATAGCAGCTTCCCTAAAATTCTCCCTAAACGGACAGGATTTTCCTCAAAATGGGGTGATAAGGTTTAGGTGCTCTTGGGAATATGACACATAACCCATTTTTCAGATCTGTGTATTAAGGACAGAAGGCTTACGGCTTGTGTTATTTCTTTTCTACTGTTTCTGTTAGTGTCTAGTCTTCTCTTGTACGAGTCAAATGAAGGGAAGGATATCACTACTTCGGGTAGCAGGTTCAATAATTGATTACTCGGTGTGAGAACCTGTATACCACGGGTATCTTGTTCGTTCTTGGCCTTTGTATTACACGGGTAGCTGCCCTCTACTTTTTCCGAGATATCAGAGTCACAGTGGCCTGCAGCCTGAAAACAGTTTTCATGTCTGGATCTCACTGTTATGTGTACTGTAGTGAACATATTGGTATCTAACTTAATAAACGTTTGTCTTAAAGCCCGTAGGGTTTTAAGAAGCTTCACTGCGACCACGCGGCAGTGGGCCGTGGTCTTAAGATCATGACTCACTGTCACCTCAGGATCCTTATGAGACCAGACTACAGGCACTGACTCCTCTAATGTTATGTCTGTTTACCTTTATTCCCCCCCCCAATGTCCCTGTGGAAACACTTGGTCACGTTGATAGTCATCAGCTACTTTTTAGGACTAGCTAATTAAAACATATAAGTCCCCATGAAGTACACATTCATCTACATCTGTTATTTCTAGCCAAAAAAGAAACTAAAGGCTAGATTCGAGCACGACCTCAGCCACACTAAGTCCTTAATAAGCAAGCTACCCCCATAAATAGTATCAGGAGTTAGCATCTGTAAGCTTTATAGCATAGGACAAAAAGTGGATTCTGAAAGTACTCAGAAAAACCGCCTCCTAATGGTTACCTTTGCTTCGGCTGAAGAAAAAACCTAATACTGGGAAACTCACGCAGACTGATTGGATCCGAAATATACGTCCGTAATGATATCGGCCTGGTTGATCGTATTAAGGGACGATCGGCAGAAGTAGGACTAAATGAGCGCCGTCGAAACGGTGGAAAAACGTTGTACTTAAGGGTTTTCAAATTGTAAAAGTTCGGAGCAAAACCATCCTCAAAGCACTCTGGATGGTAAGGTAAAGTTCTTCACGGAATTAAGGGTGTGCCATACAAATGCTATCAGCCCACAAAATAAAATGGAGCTCAAGACAATAGTGGATATAGAAAACCCGGATTTCATAGCTGTCTCAGAAACATGGTTGACGTCAGAAGTGTGTGATAGCGGGATTCAGTTGATTGGTTTTTTATCTAATAGAGCTGATAGGCTAAACCGTAGGGGGTGGGGTCGAGACAGTGGCATATGATTCACGGACATGTGGAGTGGTGCGCTGCATGCTGAAATGTAAACGACAAGATATAGAATTTGTTGTAGTATATCGCAGTCCAGAACGTGTAGTAGATGACTTCCTCCCAAGCAAACTCAAGTCTTCGTTTATTAGGTGTAAAAGCCATATAATAGGCGACTTTAATGTATCTTATATAAACTGGGGAAACTTACGAGTAAGATGATCAATAACATCATTTGATTACAAATTGTTAGAAACCGTAATTGTCCTAGCTTTATTCCAGCAAATTAGAGGTCCCACCAGATATGATTTACGAAACTCCTCTTCTATCGTGGATCTAATCTTCACACACGATGATAATGTCAGTCAAATAACTTTCCTCCCCCTTCTTGGGAAAAGTGGTCACGCAGTCATCTTTTTCAAGTTTATGGCTGAGATGTCCTATCAAACAGTTGCGCCGGCCCGTCCTAACATATGGAGGGCAGTCATGAAGGCAATCAACTATGCAGCATCGGCTGAAAACTGGATTCAGGGACATCAGTAGAAGAGGCATGAACTCATTTCAGGCAGTTATACAATCAGGTAACTCAACCATATATACCCTGGATAGGCCGGAATATTCAACGTTTACTAAGACAAAAGAAGCAATGTTGGAAAGTTACCAACACCTTTGGTACAACAAGTACGATAGAACGCTACAGGTCGGTGAGAAATAAGTGTATAGTTACAATCCTGGAAGCTCAGAGAAAATATGAAATGCAGTTAGCCCAATCTGTAACCAAGCAGTCTAAGAGACTATTCTCGTACATAAATTACAGAACAAGGACACAGCATTGGATTCCAAAACTAATTACGGTAAAGAGTGGATCTGAAATGATAGAGGATGATCACAGTAAATCAGAGGTCATGGCAAACTATTTCAGGGAAGTTTTTAACTCAAGAGCCCCTTCTAGACAAAGAACTATACCCTAATACAAAGTCGAAAAACCGTCTATTCACTGTGGACTTTGATCAAGACGATGTACGTAAGGCTCTTAGCACTTGGACACCACAAAATCTTGAGACAAACTGCACAATATATTGCAGCCCCACTGACTGTGATATTCAATATATCACTTGGTCAAGGTGTGTTACCGATGGACTGGAAGGATGCAATCGTCACTCTAATACATAAAACAGGACCAAGACAACTTTCATCAAACTACAGACTGTCTCTCTCGCAAGTGTCTTAGTGAAATACTGGGAGAAATAATCATAACATACATGGAAACCAACAGTTTGTTAAACAGTAAGCATGGATTCAGGAATGGATTACTTTGCACCTTCTTACAATATAAGAGGAATGGACAGAGGCTCCAAACAATGGGAAATCGGTGAATGTCTTCTACATAGACTTCAGTAAGGCATTTGATAAAGTAGATGAGTAATAGACTATTGTCAAAGCTGGAAAATCTAAAGTTAATTAAGGATTTCGTGGAAAGTCGTAGGCAGAAAGTAAGAATAGATTCCAAATGCTCTTCCTGGAAACCAGTACTTGGTGGAGTACAGTAAGGCTATCCTAGGTCCTTTACTTTTTATACTGTATGTAAATGAACTCCCAAGTATAGTTGAGTCCCCGATGCTACTATACGCTAATGTGAAAATCTCAGATTCAGATTTCTGCAGTAAGAACAGAAGGTTTACGGCCTGTGTTATTCCTTTTCTCACACTGAGTCATCAATTCTTGGGACCTGTTACCCGAGGCACTGGTGTCATCCTCTTCAACTGACTCATTTAAAAGAAGACTGGACACTCACAGAAGCATAGTAGTCTTGATCAAAGCCCACCATGGGCAGACGGTTTGTTTACTTTGTATTTGGGTCTAGAAGAAGCTCCTAAGTTAAATCTCTCGAAATAGTGCGAAAATTCTTAAAAGTTGGTTGTTTTCCTAATGGAATTCTAATGAACAGGATAAAACTCCACTGTGAGGTATCCATGTGAAGTTTACAGGTTTAAAAACTACTAACAGAGTAGTTGCTTAAACGATGAAAGGTTAAAGATATTTCGTAATATCCTCCAACGTTTTAATCCTGTTTTCAGGTAGCCACAAGCATATAATTTATTTTTCTGATATATCCAGCTTAAAAACTCTAACCTTCACACATTTCAGGCTTTTTTCAAACTTCTCATGGATATTCGGGTGAAGTATGACCAACAATTCTTGTCGTAAATCACTTATTAGCGTAAATAACGAACTTGTGAGAAAAATTCTTGAAGATAAGGTAGTTGCTTTTCGTTTCCCATTTAACTTGTTTGTTCAGTTTACTTTGGCAACCACTTCATTCTCCAATGTTTATCTTGGAGCTTGGGAGGGAAAGAACGTTGTAGTTAAATTCTTTCATGAGAAGCACAAGCCTCTAGCCCAAAAAGAATTATCACTTATTGCTCAACTTGAACATGAAAATATTATACATTTGATTGGTGCCGGACCTTCATTTCCATTGGATTGTTCTTTCTTGATCCTCGAGTATGCCAATTGTCATTCATTACAAAACGGTAAATTTCAGTGTTGGTATCACTCGACTTTTTCACCTTTTCATCATTATATTAGAAATAATCAAGGAACAAAACAGATTAGTTCCCTCTTAACCCTCAATTTTTAGTGTTACTGTTTTCTCTAATCTGAGCAATTTAGATGCTAATCTTTCATTATCATTCCGGACATAATCCGTGTCTACTTTGAGAGGGAGTAAGCTGTAGTAGTATCACTATACCAACTAGACCAGTTGCAATTCTTTGGGACCATTTGTTATCTTAGTCATCATTTTAACCTGACTTATCGTGTAACCACAAAAAGATTTACTTGCAGACATATAGAAGAGAAAAGATAAAGAATTAAGACACTGGTGGAATTCAGAACAAGCAATTCATAGGTCAAATATGTTTAGACAAGAATGGGGTAAATAGTCCAGCTTCTCCTGTAGAGTGAGATCATACATGTGTCATCTAGAATTATATACATCGAGACGAAATTTTCTAAGGACTGAAAGCAACAATCATACGCTTCTCCGTTTCTCTCATATTCAGTCATCGCCTTTACGGATTAATGGATTATATTTACTCAACTACCTAGAAATTTCTTAGATTTCACGTGTGCTTCTACTGATATCACATTTCGCGGTCTGTGGTTCTGCATGCTATTATTTTAGTTTGTGTGAGCTTATGACCAAGAGCTGATCTATTTTTATTTCCTGAAACGTTATTCCACCAAGGTATCACTTTCACAGAGGTTCTACTAAATACAAACTCAAATGCCCTGGTACGGCCGAGGATGATAAGAGTTAGCTCTCCCTCTTCAAATGCTCTCACATAGTCACGCGTATACAGCCATTGTCAGGGAAGTCCTACTTACTGCCTTTCGTGACGGGGGTATTGTTTACGAAACTGGGGGGGCGAAAAGTAAATTTCCGGCCCTTTAGCCGGATTGGTGGACACGGAAGGTCCACCTAGAGGAGTTGGAAAGCCCTGATTCCAAAACAATGGTGCACATGGGCTCCGGGATCCCGAGAGGACAAATGATGTATGAACCTATTGTTGGTCACCGGCTACCATGGGATTGTATTTCCTGACGCTGCTCCACTGCCTTGTGGATCAGACCTTTAGGTCGAAGGCTCAGGATTTAGCCCCCTAAGAAAACCACCTACTTCGGTTTGGGTACTCGGGCAGTATCATAGCCCACACGCAAATCGAATGATGAAGTTTGGCGCATACATATTTGGTGCCTCCTTGTACCAATGCTTGTGTTTGAATAAATAAACTGAATACAAATAAAAGGTGCCTCAAATCGATCAAATAACTAATCAGCATTTGGTGTAAAAAGTTTTGAAACTATACAGATCATTTTTAACAATGCCAGTTGCTGATGATAGTTCAAGGCCCATAGTCGTGCTTTATTTCTTTTTGATAACTGAGTCCTCGTATTTATTTTTCATCCTTATTTAGATCATCTACTCATACAACATTAATAAAGGACGTTTCTGATCCTTAGTTGAATTCCTTTAAAGTTTCTTAGACCCATCATCGTATGAGTATTCAGTTCATAATTACGTAGTTTTGCCAGGTATCTGAGTGCACACACAAGTCAAATAATCCTCATAGGTTGACAAAGATACCCTTTTTATCCCACTTATCCAGATTTTTCTCTTAAGTCACATCTATGCCTAATATCTTTTATTACCACTTATACTGTTACTACATCTACTACTTTGGAGTTTACCTTGGAAATTTCATTTTGCTATACATCTTGTGTGCAGCGAATTGAATTGACCCACTCTGCATGTAGATCTCCTAGAGTTACTACCAGTCCCAAGCCCGGGTAAAGGAGGAGGGTTGGGCATGGGGTCGGCAACCCCATCCCGTAGAAAAAATTCTTGCTAGAAAATGCCAACTAGATTAAACAAATTAAACCACTTAACCTCTTCCTTGGAAGTTGAAGGAAGAACTACGACGCCTTATGATGAAAGCCAAAATTATTCGGAAGTCACGAGGCCGGTGCCCCTTCTAACAACCAGAGCAACAATTTTTATAGGTATATAGAACGTATATAGATCATCACCTGGTTGTGGCCAAGATTAAACTGAAGCTGAAGAAACACTGGAAAACTGGGGAAACAGTATTACAAAGGTTCAACACAACCTTCCTTCGGGATAATAACAAACTCAACGAATTCAATATAGCTCTCAACAACAGGTTGCAAGGCTTACAAGATCTACTGAAAGAAGGAGAAACCACTATGGAGGACAACTGGAAAGGGATCCAAGAAGTACTAACTTCAACATTTCAGGAGGTTCTGGACCTCAAGAAGCATCATAAGGAATAGATCTCTACCGAAACCATGAGCAAGAATCAAGAAAGAACAAGAAAACAGCAATTAACAACAGCCGAACATGAGCAGAGAAATTCTAGACACGAGCTGAATACACTGAGGCAAACAAGCAAATGCAGAAGAGCATTAGAGCCGACAAGCGGAAATACGTGAAAGAGTGGGAAAAGCTGCAAAAGAAGGAAATATGAGACAGCTATGTGACAACGAAGAAACTAGCAGGGAAATATAGTAAACAAGAGAGGCCAGTGAAGGACAAAGAAGGCAAGACAATCACTGAGATTCAAGAGCAAAGAAAAAGATGGGTAGAATGCTTCAAAGAACTGTTGAATAGACCAGCTTCATTGAATCCACTGGACATCGAAACAACACACATAGACCTTCCTATAGATGTCACTCCACCAACGATCAAAGAAACCGGGATGTCCACCAGACAAATCAAGAGCGGGAAAGCAGCAGTACTTGACAATATACCAGCTGAAGCACCGAATTCAGACATTAGAGTAACTGAAAACATGCTTTACCCTCTATTCAAGAAGATTTGGAAGGAAGAAGTGTAGATGGACTGGAAAGAAGGACACCCCATAAAGATACCGAATAAAGGAGATCTAAACAAATACAAGAACTGCAGAGGCACCACACTACTGTCAGTACCAGGCCAAGTGTAGGAAGCAATTTCCTACAGGTATAACTCTAAGCTATTCTCTAGACTGTCGAGCACATAGTCTTGGTCTAGCCAAAGTCAGAACAAGTAAGTTATTTGGCTTGATAAACTGTATCTGTTTCGAACAGTAGGTAGAGGATAGGAAAAATGAGTCAACAAATATTGTTTTATAGTGAACATAAAATTGTGATTGGTGAATAAACAAGACATAGTCATACAAAGTCAAAGAAAGTTAATGTGGTGGTGGGCGTTTCACTTTATCATTGGTGAGTTCGTTTATCGATAACACCTTACACAGGTTTTCAGCGTAGTGTTGCTGAGCCGGATGAAAGACTCAGTAGACGCCCAACTTCGAGATTAGCAGGCCGGATTCCGTAAGGATCGGTCATGCAGAGGCCAAATCACAACACTATGTATCATCATTGAAAAATCAGTTGAGTGGAACTCGCAACTATATATCAACTTCATTGACTATGAGAGGGCATTTGACAGTATGCATAGGAGGACTTTATGGAAACTTCTTTGAGTACCTAAGAGATTGTCAGCATTAACCGGGATTCATACGACGGACTATAGTGCAAAGTTGTGCATGGAGGATAGCTGACAGATGCATTCCAAGGAAGAACCGTCGTCAGACAAGGTTGCCTACTCTTCCCCTTCCTCTTCTGATAGTCGACTAGATTATGAAGACCTCAACATTTAAGGGAAAGCACGGAATACAATAGACAACTCGGAATCAATTAGAAAATTTCGAATTCGCAGATAACCTGGCCCTTCTATTCCATACACACGAACAAATGCTGGTGAAGACAACTAGTGTGGCAAGTGCAGAATTTCTACAGTTGAAGAACATATGGAACTCAAAACAACTGTTAACTGATATCAAAGTCAGAATCTTCAATGCGTATATCAAGACAATCCTACTGTATGAATTTGAAACGTGGAGAACTACAACCATCATCAAAAAGATACAGGTATTTATAAACAATTGTCTATGCAAGATACTCAATGTCCGTTGGTCGGAAACCCTCAGCAACAGCCTACTATGGGAAAGGACAAATCAGCTTCCAGTTGAGGGTGAATTCAGGAAAAGACGTTGAAAGTGGATAGGACATACATTACGAAAATCAATAAACTGAAGGGAAACGGAAAAGAGGAAGGCCGAAGAACACACTATGCCGGAAATCGGTAGCAGACGTGAAAAGGATGAATAACGACTGGAAAGGATTGCCCAGGACAGAGTTGTATGTAGAGTGTTGGTGGGTGGCCTATGCTTCTCCAGAAGGGGTAACATGCGTAAGTAAGTTAGCTAGTAACACACATGCACCAGGTCTTACGTTAAGTATAAGTGACTGATTGACTAGCTTTCTGGTCTATTAACATACCTCGAATTCCCCAAACATCATAGTGTCTTCACTCCTGAACTTTGATATGAGGTTCATCAATAAAGCCTTAGTAATTAATATACCAAAACAAGAATATTTCTGTTTTAAACCTAAGACTTTATGTTCAGATGTAACCTTTTTGAGATTAATTCCGAACTTACAGTACAATTTTTGGATAAATATTGTAAATTAGGAGACACTCTTAATAAGACTGTAACAAAACTTCAACTAAGAACTTCGAAACTCCTTCAAACAGCATTTTTTGTGTAACCTAATTATTCATCAGGATCCATATGCGACAAAAAATCAAAACTCCATTGTTTGAGACAACTAGAGTTTCACGATATTAATGGGATTCCTGAAAATAGATCCTGGGTTAGTAGTTCCTTAACTGACCTGGTGGCATGACGGCTACTTGAGGCTTATGTGTGATTGGCCTTCGATATATTGACTCCATATTTTTAAATCTTACGGCCGGAACAGGAAATTTGTGACACAATGTGAGGGGTAATATCTTTAGGATCAACCTTTTCTAACTCCTCCATCGTAAGAAGGAAGTATCACTGCATATACTGATTATTCTTGGGATACACTCCAGTGCAATTGCTAGTAAAACTTCACTCTCGAACATTGAATTAGCTGCTTTTGGTCTTACCCCTGACATGTTTGAACCTCAAGGAACAAATGTCCCACCTAACGTAGTTCGATGTTAGCGTCACCAACAAGATCAACCACAGCATCATAATAGCGGACACAATTAATGCCGGACGTGGCACCTTACATTCTTAAAAGGTGTGTTGTAGTTTAAGTTTATTTCCACTGACTAAAGTTTGTTCTGTTTAGCCAGGCTATTGTATTTAAAGTGCACAGAGTGATTAGTCTTGCAAACTGGATCATACCTGGCACAAATTTGGTTCGGTTGTATTTTGTTTTAGAATCCCACCTCGTATCTCATGCAGTCCTTAATTGAGTCAAAATAAATCTCTACCATTCACACTATGTTCTTGGTTACTTAGTCAGCCAAATTTTCATCATAGCCATGTAATTATCTCAGTCACAGAATTACTAAATGATACTTATGGTTACATGTTGTCACATTTGGGGAGTTGAAAAACCACTTTCTGCACTTTCTTATGTATTATCACATTCACGTGAGTCAAACCCTCTCAAATCCATTGTTCGTTTCTACAGAAAATTTAGCTCCGTTTAATCTTAACAGACTAAGTGAAATTAGCCCGTAATTGTAGGGTGAGGATTATTTCGCACCCGAACACTACGCGAAGTTTAAAACATTTGCACTGAAGCCCAATTTACTGATTTAGCACCTTTCGCAGTTTCTCACTAGTGCGTTGTAGTCTAAAATCATATGTAACACGGACTATATGTGTGCCTGAGTTAACGTCTTGGAGCTCATAGGCTAGAACTATTGTTCACAAATATAGATTGACTCACCCTTTGTCAACGATGATCAGAATTTAATTTTGGATTCTTAAAACATTAGATCAAGTTGTTGTAGCCTGTACGTCTATTAGTCTCATCTCAAGACCATCATTAGCTGCCTCTGTCAAAAAAGAGCACTCATTAAATTAAATGGTGATTCAGACAACTTGAACTATTTAAAACCTACTAAAAATCTACTCTTGTGTGCTGGAACTTGGTGTTTCCTTTTTTCAGCAGCCTCTTGAAACCTTACGTGTGGTTAGTGTCGAGCAAATAGCGTAGTTATGTGTTTCGAGCTCATTCACATACAGTGTTTCATTTTAAACCCCTTAGTAAATGCATTCCAGCCTAACGACAACAAAGTAGTTGTCACATCAAATAAAATCTCCATTTCATAAATGTAATTTCGTGGGTATGTTACAGAAAAAGAAATAAGTCCCAAAAACTATGTGAACCTTATAGATATTCTGTATACTCTTATTTACCAAGTAAAAGTGGTTTATGTACTCGGCTTTAAACTACGTTGTTCACATGAAGGTTATTGTTATTATCCAGCTGCTTAAATTGAAGTAGATGGGATAGACCTTAAACCTGAAGTCTATTGGTTGAAAGTCAGGGTTTTTGCTAGTAAGCTATCGCTCCGAATTCTGTCGCGTCTTCATCAAGTGTCAACATCTTCACCGAAATCTGTGCTGTGGAATTTTGTTTTAACTACTAATCTTATGAAATTATATTGTTTTATTTTGCTATTTAGTTTTGTATGACTTCTCTGGAGTTCATTATAACCTGGTTAATACTTTGAATTGGATATTGCAAATTAGTCGGGCTTCAGACTATTTACATCGTTTATGTTCCCCCTCAGTTATACATGCAGATATAAAACCTTCCAATATTTTAGGTTTTGATAGACTGCGTTTAGTTAAATTAGGTGATTTTGGATCATCTAGAACTACTTTGTCTGACGAACCTTCTGTTTTTGGAACTCTGTGTTATATGGCCCCAGAACTATGGACAGTTCGAAGTGGTAAGTAAATATGATTTGCTGCATTTATCACTAATAATGAATCTTACTGATTTCCCCTAATCTATGTAAATTTATTCACCATATCATTGTCTAACGCAAATACAATGTATCCTAACTGTGGTCACTCATATGGTTAACACAGAAACAGTTTATATAAAATGTAAAACTTTCCTCACCCTTATCAGTAGACTTATTGTCTTTAAAATGCGGATAAATTTCTGTAAGTCAGAAAAAGCTAATTATTAAATAAAAAGATACTAAATAAACTCACACTTGTGATAGGTGACAGAAACCAATCACAATACACTTTATTGTATATGGCGGATTTTTCGCCACCCAATGAGTAGAAGAGTTCCAGAGTTTCGGGATTTTAGTCGTTAATTCGTCTCTAACCACCCAACAAACATTTCTGGATTACTCTTTTTTACTTTAATGTGCGGTTCATCAAACGAATATATGTTTATGTAGTACTGAAAGTGACTATTTCCTCATCTAACTTATTTTTTAAACCAACATGATACACCCAGAATTAGTAAAATTATTTTTTGGTCTAATCTTTGTCTTGAATTTTTGTGTCACGTAAAATCATCGCTACCCTCATTTATTCTTCCTATCTAGCTCTGGTACGGCCGAGGATGATAAGAGTTAGCTCTCCCTCTTCAAATACTCTCACATGGTCACGCGTATACAGCCATTATCAGGGAAGTCTTACTTACTGCCTTTCGTGACGGGGGTATTGTTTACGAAACTGGGGGGGCGAAAAGTAAATTTCCGGCCCTTTAGCCGGATTGGTGGACACGGAAGGTCCACCTAGAGGAGTTGGAAAGCCCTGATTCCAAAACAATGGTGCACATGGGCTCCGGGATCCCGAGAGGACAAATGATGTATGAACCTATTGTTGGTCACCGGCTACCATGGGACTGTATCTCCTGACGCTGCTCCACTGCCTTGTGGATCAGAACTTTAGGTCGAAGGCTCAGGATTTAGCCCCCTAAGAAAACCACCTACTTCGGTTTGGGTACTCGGGCAGTATCATAGCCCACACACAAATCGAGTGACTTATGTGGCGTATATGTATTCGGTACCCCTTTGTACCAATATTTGTATGTTCAAATAAATAAATAATAAATATACTCTCATTTACTCATCCTCACTTTTTTTTCGCTTTTACCTCATCAACAAATATATCCAGGTGAAAAATTACCATACTCAGAAAAATCTGATGTCTACAGTTTAACGGTTACATTTTGGGAATTTCTAGCTCGTGAACCCCCAAATAAAATCCTGAAAAGACGTGATGTAGCAGACAAGTTTTGGTCTTCTATTACTCAGCGACCACCTACATTAGCTGGGTGTCCTGAACTACTAAGCATTATTATTGAGAGGTAAGTCTTCCTTCTTATTCCCGGATGGGAAAACACTCACAATAACTCTCACATTAATAGATTTTAGTCTGTCACGATTGACAGAATTAGTTAAAGTATGAAGTATGGGCGAGTTAGGTAATTTAGCAACAAAATATATAAGAATTATCAGACTTCACTGGGAAAAGTTAATGCGACGCCGAACAAAACAAATTACTGTGTATGATCGCGCCGTTATATTTTCTAGTTCGAATATTGATTGGTTCGTCTGTAATCCCCTGTTGGGCTGATGACCTCTAGTTTTTCAAATCACACAAACTAATACACAAGAACCAAGATCTTAACGCTTACTTTAACCCAGTGTCTAATGAAATGAAGACCGAAAATAAATAATTAGCTACTGTATTGTATTCAATCTAGACTCAAAACTCACAATAATATACCTAAAATGACTGACTTCACAAGCAGAAAACTACGACGTATACATAGCTTAGTTATAAGTGATACAAAACCGTAGTGCTAGGGAAATAATTCATTGATGAACAATAAGACATAGCAGCGATTTATAGGTCAACGTAAAGTTTAGAAATAGGCAGATATAGGAACACAAAGATCCAAACGTTCACTAAGTATACAATAAAAGTATAAGTAATAATCCAACGTATGATAGTCCCAAAAGTTATACTTTCACACTACTCTCCCCGTTATTTCGAAAGCGAGTAGTGTTTGTCTAGATATTTTAGTTTCTAATTAAGAACGATCATGTCAATACATATGATTCAAGAACTAGTTGATGGGATGTAGTTACAAATTACTAGTAATAGTCACTGTTATGTGATGCCGATTTAGCTATTTTTGTTCATTTAACAACTTGGCAAACTTTTGATAACTAAGGTATATTGTGCATACCTTCCACACAAGCTACTTGATTGTTGAAGCACTTGATAATAGTGTGGCTCAGAGCTGAGTTGATGAACTTTACTTGGTAAACTGTTTATAAAGCTACACTAAACCATGTTAGTGGTAATCAAAATATCGCCTAGAAAAAGGTAAGATGTTCACTGCGTTCTTAAATATTAAAGACACGACATTCAGAGAATCAATCTGCTTTCGCCGAATTCCTCGCCAAGTCGTACAGTCGTATATACATAGTGGGAGGGAAAGAATGAGAGAAGGTTCAACTCCATGCCTGCTTCTGTACGATAAGGTACATAAACAGTCAACACTAGCTTTCGGCATTAATAGGACATGTCAAAGCTTGGTCTTGCAACAACCCGAGTAAATCAATTAGGCATTTTATCCTCGGACACTTAATAAACTGTTACCACTCAACTGACTTACATATTGTTTATAGAATCCGTTCAAATCTACCAAGACTTCGTATCCAATTTTTTAAAACAGTAGATGTTCCTTCTGTTCATGGGATGAAGTCTGAACATTGTGTACAAAAAAAGCATATCTTGTTTTTGTCTTTATTGTGGCCTTGACCTGTTATTTACATTTAATCGATTTTCCATTCGAAAATACCACTCATTCTCCAATTAGTTCCCATATCTATAATTTTATTCGAAATCGTTTCTGATACCACTTCACTTACTATCCCTAACACCATTAGTTGTGACAAAAACCTCCTATCTTACATTATTCACACTATCATCCAATATGATTACGTTTGCACCCCTTTATTTGTGCTAATTCTGTGAAAGATACACACCCGCGTGTTGTTATCATTTACACTAGTATTCAAATATTCATATTACATTATCATGTTTATTCATTGTTCATGCCTCCTCATAGAGTTGAGCATTCACAAAATTGCTTTTCCGAATATCTTCACGGAGTTTTGTTTAAAATCCTTTTCGATTAATAGGATCTTCGATTAGCGTTTGGACTTTCAGCTACTACTTCATACCCTGTAAAAGTGTTAGTCATTACCTTACTCAGCTAGTAGAATCTACCTCAGTTATTCTTAAAGTAATGAACTAGAAATATTCAAGGTGCTTTAGAATAGTTGATAAATTGCTCTAATTGAAAATAACCTTTTTCATTACTTCGCTTTTCAGAGCGATAAATTAAAGTACGAAATGTTGATATAGGCACAGAAATTTGAATTGGTTTTTGCGTGGTTTATTCTTATATTGTCATATGGAGCCCGTTACATCTTTTAATTTACAGCAACACTTGCATATATACCTTAGATCCCTTTAATAATGTAATTATTGGTCAATAATGTCACCTCAAACTTGCTACAGTATCTCTACTTATGATGCCTTTACAGAAACCTACATAAATGATGTTTTGCTCAAGCGCGTGCAATGAAAGAAGCCACCTCAGGGCTACAATTATTTGAAACATCGTTTGCTATTTATGTTTTTACTTAATATAGTTTACTCATCGTGATAAGATATCGAACTAGGTTATTTCGGAACTAAGTTTTTTTTATTTTTGACCCTTCTCTTTTTTCAGTGGTTGGGCTGTAAATCCCATGATTCGACCTACAATGTTCCAACTGAGCAGATGTTTGACTTCTATAATTGAACAAATATTTCCAGTAGATAGCATTATCCAAGGTGTTGATATCCCTGATGACTGTTTAAACTTTTTAAAGAAATTGTAGAATAATGCACCTTAAAAGTGTATATAGTTTGAGACAATGTTCCCTGTTTTCCTAAACTTCCAAGTACATGTGAAATAATCTTACAGTATCCGTTGGGTTAGCTGTTTATCATTCGTTGGAAGACTTCACTAACCGTACAGTTCTATTCCAATATATGTACTTTTAATATTCCGTATTGTGTAAACTATTTTTTATTCCTAACCCAAGTTGATTTTCTATACTATAAACTGGTTTAGGTCAGTTGTGTTTAGTTGAAATACAGACCAACTTACCAAGTGTTTCACCTGTAGAACTATAACAATTGCAGTTATTTTAAGTGCAGTTAGTGAATATCTCGAATTGTTTCACTAACATTTAGCTAAACGCCTTCATCCTCATAGTTTTTATTTCTCGTCCTTCATGCTTTTAAGTACTACCCACTTGGAGATTTATTTGGTTACGAATACTTACCTTCCTGTGTATATAAACTATACCGCATTTACGCTATTCTAACATGTTTCAATTAAACCTTACTAAACTTGTTTATATCTATTATCATTGTCCGATCACGAGGAAATTTATATCCTGACTAGATTTTCGCCACATTGTAAAGTTCTTGTAGTTCAGCGTGAACATACTTTTAGTTATTTAATTTGAAGATTTAATATGACGAACTAATAGTGTGTAATCAAACTGAGTTACATTATCCTAGTTTTCGACACCTTTCAGCAGGAGAGAGAACCACAAAATAAAAGAAAGCTTACTTCATTGTGAATAATCTACACTATCCCTCTCTAAAATTCGAAAATCGCCTCCTATCATTTTAACTATACTGTTCAACTTAATCCTGAAGATACTAAATCCCCAGACACTATATTTAGGAAAAATGAAATCCGTTTCTTGACTTTCAATGTGCATTCATTTGCATCGCTTTATTGAATGTGTAGTTAGTTAAATGATTTTAAGGCATTTTCATTGTATTCATAAATTTACTCCTGTTTTGTGCAAACTGATGATTACTCAATCCGATAAATTTTTGGAATGGATCACTGGATTAATTGACGTGTAACTGAGTAGACTTGGATGTGATTAGATTCTCTTGGGATACCCATCAATACATATTCCTTACAATACTACTCTACTGTCTTATCAGAAGTCTTAATGCTACAAGTTCCCATCCGAAAAACCGAGTAGGGTCTTACACAACTCACTCTTGAACATTGTAAACACTAGTTGCACATATACCTCATGGCACTATTGTCTCAATTATTGTATATCTAAGTGTGAACTCAATCACATCAAGCAATAGTAACACTCCTTACTTTTTCTGCTTTGATTTGAGTACATCCGCGCGATGGCAAAATTATGCTCCTCACTGACTTAACGTGTTTGGGGTCAAATCCTAACTTAACGATACCAGCAGCTTTTTGATAGAAAGCTGCAAATTTAACGTCTGGTAGTGAAATCGTTGTGTTTACCGTACACGAGAAAAGCGACAGTACTAAGTATCGCATAGATCATCATCATTAAAGATTATCTATTTCCAAGTAACGATTAAGCCTAAAAATGGTAGGCACGGCTCATTATTTAGATAAGTGAGGACTTGAAAGAAACTGTTTCTAGTCTTACAAGTGGAGACATAACTTAGCGTCTAAAGCTAAGAAAGCAATTCTAAAGTAAACCTTAGTAGACTATCTCCTCCACTTGAGTGAGGCCGTAAGCCGCTTGCTCCTGGAGACATGTCGGACAATAACAACAAATCCCATTGATCATAATTTTGATAGTCAATTGGCACTCAATATGCATTTGACATTGTCACTAGTTGCAAATAATAATCGCTTAACAGCAAGTTATTAATTACTTCGTAAATCATAATGATAGAACTATGTACAGTCAAGTTCCCCTTCACTTTTTAATTTACACCTAATCTCAAGACAGCTTACACTTTCCCTTGCTGACCAAAGAAAACCATGACTACTCATACATAAGTATTTTATTTGGGATGCTTACCAGCATTGTATATCTACTTGTTAGTTCATTATAGAATAACAAGCTGCACTAGGTGCTGTTCAACTGCTAAATAACTTGGTCAACAGTTTAGTATGATGATACTAGAATCACCCGACTATAGTTTGTTTATAATTGTTTCCGCCTTAATAATTTCATAAAAAAAATGAAAACCACAAATAAAGGGTATTTATATTTTGGAGACAATCGAAAACGATAACTAAAGGCTTTGGCCAAACGACTAGAACTACTTACACATAACATATCCCAATAGTTTTCAGATCATTTGTGAAAATGAAAAAAAACACAATATGTACAGTTTGCGAAATCACCATTTGCAAAGATTTAATTCACCTCTTTGTAACTCCGCTTTCTCGACTCACGATGTCGTTGACGTCGTTCAGCCAGGATAGCTGACAGTTCAGGATTAAATGCAGAATTAAAGGGCAAACTTCGTTCGTCTACATACACTTGTTCTTGATCTGGAGGTTTTAAAGCATCTAAACCAAAAGATTTAGCCAGTAAAACTGCTGCCCTGTCTCTTTCCTTTCGTTCTCGTCGCAGTCTTTCAGCCCGAAGACGATTAATGTCTGAACGCTTGGCCATTTCAATCAATTCTGATTTTTTATCCATACTTTCGGGATTCAGAGAAACCCCCGTGGATAAATCTTTCGTTAGCTCCCCAAATGAATTACATGAAGTTTCAGTAAGTGATTGAGTATACCTATTACCTGTTCGTCGACTTTTCGAAGCCTATACGAAAGAAAAGTTTTACTATAGCAACACACCATTACGAATATTGATCATAGAGTAAATAATATTACCACCACAAATATGCGCGATATTCATAATCGGACTGTATGTATGTTAAGAAATAAAGACACCATCAAAAATCTTTTTGGGGCGAATCTCATAGTTATACAAGTTTTAAATTACGCAAACATCCATTGCAATACGCGAGTAAGAAAAAATGCAATAACTATTAGTATGCACCACAAAACCAACGCGGATCGACAATGTTTGCCACAATAGTGAGGTGGGACCTAATCAAACTGAACTTTTCTCTTTATATTTTGAATAAACGATATTACCGCCATGAAAATATCCAGGAATTTCGTCGAGGGAGGCCCAAACTTTCCGCACCAATGCATAAGAACTGTACTAAACCCCATACATCATAGAAACTTAAATGATTTGCAAATTGCATGGGTGTCTGCGGTTGTTTTGTGCTTTATTTCTGACTCATTTACTTTGAAAAATTAGTGTGATGTGCAGCAAGTATAGTATTTTCCGTAGATATTGTCGTTTCATTCACGTTCTTCTAACAACTATCGGGGTATAAGTCTACATCCGATTGCGCCCAAACTCTTAGCTTCTGTCATACTTCGTAGGTTGTTCAAAACCCGAGAATTATTGACTCGCGAGGAGAAGGCTGGTCTTCGTTCTGGTCGAGGATGTATTGACCACATCTTCACCCTCCACCAAATGTTAGAGCACCGTCATACTTATCAAAGGCCAACGATCGTAGTGTTTCTTGACATCAGGGCTGCCTTCGATTTGTTGGACAGGACTACTCTCTAGGATTGTCTATTGAAGAAGGGTGTGCCTGAGAAGTTTATTAACATCTTAAAGGCCCTACATACAAACACCTCAGGCAGAGTAAGGGCACACAACCACCTCTCTCCATTATCCCATTCAAGCAGTGGGGTTAGACAGGGTTGCCCAATCTCACAATTCCTCTTCAACTTTGCCATCGACGACATTCTGAAAACAGCTCTGATGGATGTAAGTAATGGCGGTGTGGATCTGTTGCCTGGAGAAAGACTTCTCGACCTTGAGTATGCGGATGATATTGTCTTACTGTGCGAAAATACCCAAGCCATGCAATCCGCACTTAATCAGTTGGCAATCAGTGTCCGTAGGTATGGTATGTGCTTTGAACCTTCGAACTGCAAAATACTTCTACAAGACTGGCAGGATTCTAATCCTGTACTCACCCTGGATGGTGAGCAGATAGAAGCAGTTGAGGAGTTCGTGTATCTAGGCAGCTGCATAAGTGCTGGTGGTTGTGTGAGTGATGAGATCAATGCACGTATAGTGAAAAGCAGTTTGTGTATTTGGGTGGCTGCATAAGTGCTGGTAGTGGCGTGGGTGATGAGATCAATGCCAACCTGGGCCATCTTTGTCACCTTCGTGTTGTCAGTCTAGCTGTAAATGGTCGGATCTACAACGCGTCGGTGAGAGCAGTTTCGCTCTATGCTTGTGAAACCTGGCCTCCGAGTTGAGGATGTTAAACGACTTTGTGTTCGGTCATCGCTGTCTCCGAAGGATTGCTGACATCCGGTGTCAACACCATGTTAGTAATGCCGGGGTTCGGCGTCGTGTGTTCGGGTGCAGAGACGATAATTCAATTGGTGTCACCATCTTGAAACACCGACTTTGGTGGCTTGGACATGTTCTACGAATGTCGTCCCAGAGAATTCCATATCGTGCATTATTTGCCGACTCTGGGACTGGCTGGTGTTAGCGGGCCATAGACTGGATTAGAGCATGCTCAATGCACGATTGCTTTGGTGCACGCTGATTGGCTAATTCTTATCCAATCAACACTAGTCGATACTTGGAGAATACTCTAGAATCCTCTCATGTGAAAACTACAAATGTACTAACGTTTTCCCTATTGTGTTTCTTACTTGCATCTTACTTCCATCTAAACTTGTTATTTGGAATATAATATATTTTCTGTTCAACCGTGTTCTTATTTGGGGTCTTGTCGAGTGATCTGGTGTCCAAGAATACTAAGCAATAGGTATAGCTGGGTCATACCGTAAGAAAGAGAGATTATAACAGTTCGAAAAAGAGGAAAGGTGGTCAGTGTATGACATGGTGTCGTGGCATGAAAGAAAGCTGCGAAGGGCTGGCTTTTGGTTGTCTTTCACGACTCCCTAGTTGGGGTCCTAAAGATGGTGCTACACAGCGGTTAGAGACGTTATCAGATATGGCCCAGAATGGAAGCCAGTTTCGATCCTGCTGTAACGTTCTTTTACTTTCTTCATAAAACAGTAGTTGTAACTTCCTTAACTGGAAGAATTCTTTTTGCTGTACCTTTCTGTTTCCGTCATTATTATTACCATTATTATTATTATTAGTATTAGTATTATTACACCACCTTACACTAATCTATTCGTTATTATTCTTTTTTCTTTCTCTTCGAATTCTCATTGTTTTGTGTGGCGCATAAATATTTGGTGCCCTCTTGTACCAATGTTTATGTGTTCAAATAAATAAACAAAGTGCAGGGTTCTAGTGCTTTGCTTAACAACCATCGCAAATGATGACTTAGTTGACCAAGCGTTGAGTTTTCTACTTTGTTTCGAGTCACTTTTGCTGTGTGGTTTGGTATACTACTTAGATTCTAAAACCGAAGTATCTCAAGCGATCCAGTGGTTGAGTACTTAGATTAACTGACCGCTTGCTAAAAATTACCGCTACTGAAATTTAAGTTATCAAAGTATGAAGTATACGCGAACCAGTTATCGATTTCAATACAGAGCACAGTGAGCTTCTGTAACCAACAAAACAATGCTCGTAATCGTCTTCCGTGTTTTAGATAAATACCAATGGCTAAAAGCAACTTTTTTTCTGGTTAGCCTTTCTTCAGGATACTAACAAGCTCAACAAATTCAAGATAGTCCTCAACAACAAGTTCCAGGCCTTTCATGATCTACTCAATGGAGAAGGAACTACTGTAGAGAGCAACTGGAAGGGGATCAAAGAGGCAATCACTTCAACATGTCGTGAGGTCCTGGATCACAAGAAGCACCACCACAAGGAATGGATCACTGTTGATACACTGGATAAAATTCAAGAAAAGAGGAACAAGAAAGCAACAATCAATACCAGGCGAACAAGAGCAGAAAAAGCCAAGGCACAAGCTGGATACACAGAAGTAAACAAACAAGTGAAGAGGAGCATCAGAACCGACAAACGTAAATATGTGGAAGATTTAGCAACGACGGCGGAAAAGGCTGCAAGAGAAGGAAACATGAGACAACTGTATGACACGACAAAGAAACTCACTGGAAATCGCCGCAAACCAGAACGACCAGTGAAAAGCAAGGAAATCACCAACATTGAAGAGCAACAAAACAGGTGGGTAGAACACTTCGAAGAACTCTTGAATCGACCGGCTCCACTGAACCCACCCAACATCGAAGCAGCACCCACGGACTTCCCAATCAATGTTGGCCCACCAACAATTGAAGAAATCAGCATGGCCATCAGACAAATCAAGAGTGGCAAAGCAGCGGGACCAGACATTCCAGCAGAGGCACTAAAAGCAGACGTAGCGGCAACTGCAAGGATACTCCACATTCTCTTCAATAAGATTTGGGATGAGGAACAAGTACCAAAAGACTGGAAAGGACTCCTGATCAAAATACCAAAGAAAGGCGATCTCAGCAACTGTGATAACTACAGGGGCATCACTCTTCTCTCAATACCGGGAAAAGTCTTCAACAGGGTATTGTTAAACAGGATGAAGGACTGCGTAGACGCCCGACTTCGAGACCAACAGGCAGGATTCCGTAAGGATAGATCGTGTACAGACCAAATCGCAACTCTATGGATCATTGTGGGACAATCAATTGAATGGAATTCATCAATCTACATCAACTTCATTGACTACGAAAAAGCATTTGATAGCGTGGACAGAACAACATTATGGAAACTTCTTCGACACTACAGCGTGCCTCAGAAGATAATCAATATAATACAGAACTCATATGATGGATTACACTGCAAAATCGTGCATGGAGGACAGTTGACAAAGTCGTTCGAAGTGAAGACCGGTGTTAGGCAAGGTTGCTTACTCTCACCCTTTCTCTTTCTCCTGGTGATCGACTGGATCATGAAGACGTCAACGTCTGAAGGGAAGCGCGGGATACAATGGACATCTAAGATGCAGTTGGATGATCTAGACTTCGCAGATGATCTGGCCCTTCTATCCCAAACGCAACAACAGATGCAGGAGAAGACGACCAGTGTGGCAGCAGCTTCAGCAGCAGTAGGTCTCAATATACACAAAGGGAAAAGCAAGATTCTACGATACAACACAGCATGCACCAATCCAATCAAAATTGACGGAGACGATTTGGAAGATGTAAAAACCTTCACATATTTTGGGCAGCATCATTAATGAACAGGGTGGATCTGATGCAGATGTGAAGGCGCGGATCGGCAAAGCAAGAGCAGCATATTTACAACTGAGGAACATCTGGAACTCAAAGCAACTGTCAACTAACACCAAAGTCAGGACTTTCAATACAAATGTCAAGACAGTTCTACTTGGAGGACTATGAAAGCCATCATCCAGAAAATACAGGTGTTTATTAGCAGTTGTCTACGCAAAATACTTCGGATCCGTTGGCCGGACACTATTAGCAGCAACCTACTGTGGGAAAGAACAAATCAGATCCCAGCGGAGGAAGAAATCAGGAAGAAGCGCTGGAAGTGGATAGGACACACATTGAGGAAAGCATCCAACTGCGTCACAAGACAAGCCCTCACATGGGATCCTGAAGGCCAAAGGAAAAGAGGAAGACCAAAGAACACATTACGCCGGGAAATGGAAATAGACATGAGAAAAATTAACAAGAATTGGATGGAACTAGAAAAGGCCCAGGACAGAGTGGGTTGAAGAATGCTGGTCGGTGACCTATGCTCCATTGGGAGTGACAGGCGTAAGTAAGTAAGTAAACGCAAGTTCCTACTCCGTGATGATAGTTTCCAGTCCCTGCTGACAGCAAAACGACATCATATAAATTAACCCACCAGTTGCATAAGTATAAAACTTAGAAACAGCAAAGTAGAACTAAACCTAAACAAACCTCTTTGTATGGGCACTTTGGTACCATTATGTCATCAGGAAATAAGGTTGGCATAGCATGAATGCAAGCACTGGCACGTTGAAGTTCAGCTGCTTCGCTCTGCCTTTTTACTTCCTTATTGTGTTTGAACATCTCCTCGACCTTCTTCATTTCTGTTAATGGGTCAGCCAATGTCTTCTTCTTTATTTCCAGTTCTTCTTTGGTCCTATAGATTGATCATCAAATGCCATAGCGCTTACTTTCTTCGTTCGCTCTCACGACGCTCATAAGTTCGAGGGTGCACATCATACCACGGCTTTTCACCGGCAGCATCAAGAACAGTTTGGCCTAAATAAGTCAAAATCCCAACTGCTTTCTCTTTTCTCTCTTGTTCGATCTTCTTCTCATTTTCGTATTCTGCGTTTCCTTGTGAGACATTCAGCTTTTGGCTATCCGATTATTGCGATCCGCAACTTACGATACTATCTTTTGTTAGAGTTATCTGGAATCCATCTGATCCCGAGCTAGATGTTAGGTTATTTTTTTGTCTTCTTAAATAATCTATTCGCGCTTCCTGATCCTAAACGTATAAAGTCAATCGAAGATTTTGAGATGCCTTACAGCAAGTTGTGCTTTAATTTCAAATTTTCTTCGCTCCTCCTCATATTTTGCCTCATCTGACCTCACCCGAGCAATGTTCTCTTTTTTTAAAACATGCCATCTGTTAATCAATAACATACAAAAAACATTACCTTTTTTTTGGTAAAATATTCATTGTTTTGGAGTGGGATCCTCAAACGCGAAGTGAATTATCTTGCTACTGGATAATCCTCAGACTACTAAAAAGATACGTTAAATTACTAAGTCACATTTTCTTAAGTGATGCAAAAAATTTTCTTATGCTATTCATGAGACTAATTTCACGTGAAAAAAAACTTATAATCCGTACAAAATTATGGAGCCGCACACAAAATTGCATTACTTCCAGGTATTAGGTTTTGCAATAGAGTAGACTGAACATGAAAACGTATACACAATAATAAATATTTGAGAGATGTGGGTAAATTGAAGAAATGAGTATATTCATAACCAGTTTTTAATGAACTTCACCCACTTACATACTAATAACTAAGACCAACAAGTAACTTTGCAGATTATTGACCCAACTCTCTGCGAACTTTTTAAGGTTTTTACCACGTGCTTCAATGGCCTGACATAACGTTTGTCTATCTAAACCAATGTATCAGCCTGGTAGATTGCAATTCTACGGCATGATTTCTTACGTTACAGTTTGGCAAGCGGGCAGCAGTTCTGTTTAAAGCAACTGACGACTTGAGATCAAATCACTAAGGATCTTAAGTCTTTTCAGACTGAAATTGTATTTTGGTTTTAAGGTAGGATGACCTGGTGAACTTTCTAACTGGAGTTGTACATGTACTCACATATTTAACTTTACACGCGAACCAGTAACAGGACATATCGTCCAGAATAATCCATTTAAGGAGCCAATGTTTAGCTTATAAGACTTACTGAGACTTTTGAGTGAACACAAAATTTATGTACTAAGTTGTTTACTGAATGCTTGAAATTAATTAATAAGTACTTAGAGTGATATCTTTTTTGACCTATAATAGGAAGCCATAAATATTTATTTATATTTACGGGACATTGTTGTGTTTCTGGAATCGAACATGTTTTGAGCCCCCTTCTCCGACGTGACCAAAAAGTAGGATGCCATAAGCGAACAGGTTATATAATACCGTTAGGCAAACACCAACAAGCAGATCACTTAATATATAAACTTTCCACAGACATTATAAAGACGTACTACATTTAATGTGATTAGTGATGTGTCTATATGATTACCGAACTAAATAAACATTACAAAAATCTATTCCTACCCAGTACTCCTTCAAACCAACCCAAATCTTAGTGACTGCACAACTGGCTGTAGAAGAAAGGAATCTCCCGGCACTAAATGGTTCAATATTCAAATGGTTCAAATGGTTGTGGACGGAATAGAAGAAGCTTTCGCTTAACAGGCTTCCGTGTCTAGTAGCAGGGGATCACCAAATCCTCCAGGCAGGAACCTAGGTATGCTAACAATAAAAGAGGAAAAGAAATTAGTAAATCATAGTGTGATACTATCCTTAGTCCATAAGAATAGATCAAGTTGCCTCTTAAAGGACTCCTAGGAAGTCGCTTGGACTAGCTCGGCCAGCAGAGAATTCCAGCATTTGACAACTCTTAAGGAGTAGAAGTTGTGTCTAGAGTCCGTTCTGCTATGTTGTGTCTCCAGTTGTGGGTGTTACCTCTTGGGTTAGTGTTGGAACTAAGCTTAAGTAGGTGTTTGAGAGGATGTCCAGAAGTGTTAAGAATGCTATAAACCATTAGTAAATCACCTCTAAGACGCCCATATCCTAGTGGGTAAAAGTCTAGTGAACGGAGGCGTTCTTCGTAAGGCTTAGATTTGAGTCCTCGAACTGATTTCGTTAGATACGCTACAAAGTGACCTTGTCCTTTTGGAGTGAGGGGGGAGTACTATGTTTCCGTACTCTAAATGGGGACGGATGAAACTATTGAAGATTGTATGGAAAGTTCGTCCGTCAAACTGTCCAAAAATGCGCTTCAACGTTACCAGTGCAAGGTTTGCTCGGAAGGCATTTTTGTCACAGTTAGCGTAAGACTTTAAGTCATGGGGCATCAGGACTCCTAAATCCTTTTCGACTTGGGATACTACTAGAGAGGAGTTTCCTAAGTTGTAACTGTAGTTTGCGACATGTCGCAGATGGACTACTTGACACTTTGAAGTGTTAAAGGTAAGTCCGTTATCGTCTGCCCAACTTTGAAGTCGCGTCAGATCCTCCTGAAATGCCTGTGTATCGACTTGGTTGCGTATCTCTCTCCAAAGTTTCACGTCGTCGGCAAAAAGTAGTAAGTCTGACGTTACCTGTTGAGGAAGATCATTTATGTAGATCAAGAAAAGAAGAGGCCCTAGTACCGAGCCCTGGGGAACCCCACTAGGACATTCCATAGCCTCAGATAAAGTGAAATTAACCCTAACCTTAAAGTGTCGATTTTTTAGGTATGAAGTAAGCCAATCGATTAGAGGTGGTTTGATACCTAGTCGTTTGAGCTTGTTGATAAGACACAAGTGGTTAACCTTATCAAAAGCTTTTGAGAAATCAAGGTAAATGACATCAACCTTTCCCTTGCAATCGAGGATGCTTGTCCATTTGTCCACCGCAGTCAGCAGGTTGGTTATACAAGAGTAACCCTTCCTGAAACCATGCTGTTGGGGTGAGAAGAAATTTAAGGACAGTAGATAGTCATTTAAACCGTCGCATATCAGGGACTCCATGAGTTTTGAAGGTAATGACAGAAGAGCCACCGGCCGATAACTTGAAGGTTCATTGCGTCGACCACCTTTGAAAATTGGTGTGATGTGAGCCAACTTCCAGTTTTCCGGTAGTTTGCCTCGGCTAAGCGAGTGTGAGAACATCACGCTAAGCGGCGTTGCCAGGATTGAGGCTGCCTCCCTCAGTATGGCAGGATGAATCATATCCGGGTCAGGAGAAGTGTCAAGTCTTAAGTGCTGCAATTTCCGGAACACCAAGTCAGCGCTTAGGTCCACTTTAGAAAGTCCTGTGGAATTGCAGATGAAACTGTCGTCAATAAAGTTGATGTCAGCCGGTTGAAATGTTTGAGAGTAATGGGCCGCCAGAAGGTTAGCGGCGTCGCCATCATTGTTGGTTGGGCCGTTAAGACCTAGCAGTTGAGAAACTCCTGTTTTGGCTTGACGAAGAGAGGCTGCATAACGGAATAGGCTTCTAGGGTTAGAGGCGAATTTGTCCATAAGCTTTGTTTGGTACTGAAGTCTGTCTTCTCTTATAGCCTTCGTGCATGTGTTCCTGATATGTTTGTATTGCCTATACGCTCCATCGTTATTAGTTCGTTTGTATTCCGCCCAACAGTGCCGTTTGCGGCTTAGGAGGCGAAGGGTACGGTTCTTGATTACTGTAGGTGGCTTGAAGCTTTTGGGAACCGTTTGAGGAACTGAATGGTCTGTAGCACATAAGAGCGTGTGCAGTAAGAAGTCCCAATGACCATCCACATCGAGTTGAGGGTGAACATCCCAAACCACCTGTTGTAGATAGTCATGTAGAGCTGGCACATTCAGCCGTTTAAAATTCCAACGCAAATTATTGTTGGGATACCTTAGCTTAGTTTTGATGACAAAACTGAAGGCTATGACGGCATGATCGCTTTTTCCCAGAGGAGACAGGATTGAGAGGTTGTCAACTAGGAATTCTTCGTTAGTGAATACACAGTCTAAGCGCGATGGTGTCTGACTGTTTCACCAACGAGTTGCCGACCTCACATTTTCATATAAGCCCAAGTCATCGATGAGGTTGAAGAACCGAGCTTCAATTGAGTTGTCGCCTCCAGTGTACGTCTGTTCCGCGAAGTTGACTCTAGGGAGATTAAAGTCCCCTAGAATCAGAGGAAAGGTTTCATTCAAATTGTTATGTTCGGAATATTAGAGGCTTCCGCTTAGCGAGGCTTCCGTGTCTAGTAGCAGGGGATCACCAATACCTCCAGGCAGGAGCCTAGGTATATTAACGACAAAAAAGAAATTGATAAATCATCCTTAAGAATATGTCAGGTTTTCTCATGAATGACTACTGTGGAGTTGCTCGGACTAGCTCAGCCGGCAGCGAATTCGAGTATTTGACTACTTTTAAGGAGTGGAAGTTGTGCCTCCAGTATCTGGGTATTACCTCTTAGGTTAGTGTTGGAACTAAGCTTAAGTAGGTGTTTGAGAGGATGTCCAGAAGTGTTAAGAATACTATAAGCCATCAGGAGGTCATCTCTAAGATAGTCTATACTCTAATGGATAAAGTTCTAGTGAATGGAGGCGCTCTTCGTAAGGTTTAAATTTGAGTCCTCGAACTGATTTCGTGGCTCGCTGTTGGATACGCTCCAGGGTGTCCTTATCCTTTTGAAATGAGGGGGGAAATACTATGTTTCCGTACTCTAAATGGGGACGGATGAAACTATTGAAGATTATAATAAAAGTTCTTCCGTCAAACTGACCAGAATGCGCTGTGGTGTTATCAGTGCAAGGCATTTTTGTCACAGTTAGCGTAAGACTTTGAATCATAGGGCACCAGGACTCCTAGATCTTTTTCGACTCGGGATATTACTAAAGAGGAGTTTCTTAAGTTATAACTGTAGTCTGCAACATGTCGCAGATGGACTACTTTACACTTTGAAGTGTTAAATGTAGGTTCATTATAGTCTGCCTAACTTTGAAGACGAGTCAGATCCTCCTGAAGTGCCTGTATATCTTCTTGGTTGCATATCCCTCTCCAACGTTTCACATCATCAGCAAAATGTAATACGTCTGACGACACTGTTGTGGAAGGTCGTTTATATAAAACAAGAAGAGAAGAGGTCCTAGCACTGAGCCCTGGGGGACTCCGCTAGGACATTCAATAGCCTGAGAGAAAGTGAAGTTAACCCTGGCCTTAAAATGTCGATTTTTCAAATATGAAATGAGCCAGTCAGTTAGAGATGACTTGATCCCCAGTAGTTCGAGCTTGCTGATAACACATATATGGTCTACCGTATCAAAATCTTTTAAGAAACCAAGGTAAATTATATCAACCTTCCCCTTGCGACCAAGGATGCTTGTCCATCTGTCTACCCTTCCTGAAACCATGCTGTTGGGGTTAGAAGTTTATGAATGATAAATAGTCGTGTATATCGCTACATATCAGGGACTTGATGATTTTTGAAGGTATGGAGAGAAGAACCATCGGTTGGTAGCTTGAAAATTCACTTCGTCGAACTCCTTTGAAAATTGGTATGATGCGAGCCAGCTTCCGAATTTCAGGTCATGAGCTTCGGCTTAGCGAGTGTGGGAACATCACGCTAAGCGGTATTGCCGTGATTGAAGCTACTTTCCTCAGTGTAACAGAATGAACAGTATCCGGACCAGGAAGAGTTCCCTGTATAGGAACTGCAGTTTCCGGAACACCAAGTCAGCGCTCAGGTTCACTCGGGAAAGTCCTGTGCAGTTACAGATTAAGCTTTCATCAGTATAGTTGATGTGGGTCGTTTGAAATGTTCGAGAGTACTTTTGAGTCAGAAGATTAGCGGTGAGTTGCGACGTACAAAGAAGTGTTTACTTTATCGTATGGCAGGTTGCGAGAAAATATCAGTTCATTGTGGTCTAGTGGAAACATGTTTGACTGAACGCATGATGCTTGTAAGCCATCTCGCGTAAGAGATTAGAGTCATATTCATTGAATAAGATGAATGATTGTGGTGTTTGAATGAACCAATGATACGTTTGTACTGGTTGAATGTTTGATTTCGAACTCTAAATACAGTACATTCGTTGTGCCTGTGTCTTCTTAATTCGATTGCGCTAATCCTGGAATTCCTTATTCATACGACAATTAGAATACTATAAGGATCCGCGAATTCTACTAGAGGTGGAAGTGTCGTTCCATAAACTAGTTGAGCTATCGTGTATCCAATGTCAAGTTTCGTTGCATTGCAAACACCGAGTAAAACAAATAGTAGAGCGTCGGTCCACTGCGAGACGTTTCTGCTGAGAGTGACGTTTTAAGCTGTTAGTGGAAGCGTTCTACCAACCCGTTTGCTTGTGGGTCGTAGGCGATTATTCTGAATCACGTGATTCCTAATAGGGTAGTTAGACGGCAGAAAAATTCAGATTTGAACTGACGTCCACGGTGTGTATTGATAGTCGAAGAGCAGCCGAAGTTCGCAACACATAGTTTGACGAAGACACGGGTCGCTGCTTCAGTACTAACGTCTTTGATGGGTACAGCTTCTGAACATTGAGTAAAAGCATCCGTTTAACACCTAGTCAGTCAGCTACAACGTAGAACCAGACACATATATGCATCGGTTTAAGTTGCCACACCTCATTAGCACAACGAGATGAACACCGAGTTCATAGAAGTAGTTAATTCAGTGATAGTAACATATAAAACAAAGAATGCATATAAGGATATAATACATGAAGAAAGAATTAGGTAGTATAAAGGAAGATATAAAGCAATTTTAATCTCATATTTTAAGGGAAGACAAAGAGTGTATACATCTACGTCATTGTGATCGATTTTGAGTCATTTCATCCAGAGTCTCCAATCATTCGTTACGATAGTCACACAAACTTCAACCAAGTGATTTGCATCTACCAGTATGGCTAACATTATTCAACATAGGCAAAAACATACTTGAGAAAATAACTGACACAACGTAATAGGTAGGATATAATACATGAAGAAAGAATTAGGTCGTAGAAAGATGATGTGAACAGGGAAACAAGAAGCCCCGACAAACTACGAAACTACTTTTCCGGACGTTATTTCATTTTATCCAAAGCTTGTAAAACTGACATTTATTTTTGTCCCTATTTTATTCTACACAACGTGAGCTTTCGTTCGATGTATCATTCATTGCCATACCCTTTTTTGTTCCGAAGCTATTGTAATTTAACATAATATTTTGCTCCTTATTTTCTACCCTGATTCCCAGTTTCGGACATAATTGTATTTTTCCGAATTACCTTACGTTGTGGTCAGGTAAATCACCTATTTATTCATGTACCTTTTTGCACTAATCTGAATTCAGAGATTTCACAGGAAATCAGGATATCGCAATACAGCCACTAGTGTTCCAGCTGTCTTGTCTTCTCTCATTACCGTGCTTGCCAGCCAGTCGGGTGCCAGAATAGTTTTCTTCTACCTACCACACCTCGAACTCACGCGTACTAGCCTCAAGGTTAAACTGGCCAACCTATTGCGTCAAGGTCTTAATCTAGAGTAGACAGATCAAGGTCATAACAAAAGAAAAGTATAAAGCAATTTTAATCTCATAGTCCAAGAGAAAACAGAAAGTGTATACATCTACGCCCTTGTGATCAACTCTGAGTCATGTTACCCAGTGTCTTCAACCACCGGTTACGACAGTAAAAATCCTGCCGAATCCAAATAAACATGGTCAAAAGGAAGTGTGAAAGACGTTAAGCGACATTTGTTGTTTGTGAATTCTCAGTCTTCAACAGAAAGTCCTAAACCTCAATTCGATGTCTAGTAACCGTTTCGAGAAGAATGCCGAATGTTGTCAGGTGTGGTTAACACATTATTTTAACACTTCCGATCGCCGAGTCGGATGCGCCTTCTGTGATGATAATGGGTGCTTCGGTGTTCTGTTGTGCGAGCAATTTTGCTTTGGCGATAAGTTCCTTAATTTAGGAGGCCCTTGAACGTGCATAGCCGCCTGGTTGTGGTCGGTTCTGCGTAATTCGGAGTGGTCCCCTTTCGCTTTTTAGAGGTCGGATGCCTTGACCATCAGAATGTCCATGAAAATCAAGAAAGTCGATGCCCATTCGACATTTCTCAATGTTTACAGTAGTAACGTGCTTTTGTAGTCGAGGACAAGGTCCATATGGCGAAGATGAAATTTTGTATCCGGGCTTATGATCAAGTAGTCATCAACATACCCATGTACGAAATCGAGACCTCGAAAAATGTCATCGATGAATCTCTCTAAAATTGTACAACATTTTTTGAGCTGAAAGCAATACGCGGGAACCCTTAGAGACCGGATGGGATTAATTATAGCGGATTTAGGAATATCATTGTCGGCCATGGGAATTTGAATAATGCTTTAAGCAAGTCGATTTTCGAAAAGGCAGTTGCACTTTTCAGGGTAGCTGTCAAGATGTAAATATGAGACGATGGGTAACGGTCAGGATTTGTTATCGCGTTCGATCTCCGATAGTCAAAAACTGAACGACAGTCGTTGCTGTCCTTTTTAGGGACCATGTGCGAAGGAGATGCCAATGGATTGTTTGATGGCCGAATGATTCCCAAGTCTACCATGTTGTCGAATTCGTTTATGGTCAACCCCAGTTTTTTTGGGAGCTACTGGACGCGCTTTCGAGAATACAGGTGGTCTTGTCGTCGTGATGTAATGTGTAACATTGCATGTTATACACGGCTCTACTGTCACGTTTGGTATAGCTCGGGATAATTATTGAGTATTTGTTGGTAGTATGAATTGATCGTGTGCCTTGCTGTGACTGGGGGCAATCTACAGCTAGAAAAATAAGTTACAGAAAGACGCAGTAGTAATCAAGAATCGATGTTGGATAGCGGTGGAAACCAGGACTCCAACCCAAATCTGTTCATTTCAAAAGTATGACTCACTTTATGATCAGTTCAACTACGTGTTATTCCTAGAACTAAAAATATTGTGTGAATTATTATTAGTGTTCTTCTTAACGGCTATCTTTTAGATCTTGTAGCCTTATTGTTTATATGTCTACTTTTCGAAACGTCGGTTGTAATTACCAATATTAGGTAATCAAACTACTTCTTTTCCGTCAAGGAGGAAATGTATTGTGCTGCATGTAACACATGATTTCACAATACTTATCTACTTAATAGTTGGAGGCTGGCTCACATCACACCAATTTTCAAAGGAGGTCGACGCAGAGAACCTTCAAGTTACCGACCGGTGGCTCTTCTCTTCATACCTTCAAAACTCATGGAGTCCTTGATATGCGATGGTATAAATGACTATTTACTGTCCTTACATTTCTTCTCACCCCAACAGCATGGTTTCAGGAAGGGTTACTCTTGTATTACCAACCTGATGACTGCGGTGGACAGATGGACAAGCATCCTTGGTCGCAAGGGGAAGGTTGATATAATTTACCTTGGTTTCTTAAAAGATTTTGATACGGTAGACCATATATGTGTTATCAGCAAGCTCGAACTACTGGGGATCAAGTCATCTCTAACTGACTGGCTCATTTCATATTTGAAAAATCGACATTTTAAGGCCAGGGTTAACTTCACTTTCTCTCAGGCTATTGAATGTCCTAGCGGAGTCCCCCAGGGCTCAGTGCTAGGACCTCTTCTCTTCTTGTTTTATATAAACGACCTTCCACAACAGTGTCGTCAGACGTATTACATTTTGCTGATGATGTGAAACGTTGGAGAGGGATATGCAACCAAGAAGATATACAGGCACTTCAGGAGGATCTGACTCGTCTTCAAAGTTAGGCAGACTATAATGAACCTACATTTAACACTTCAAAGTGTAAAGTAGTCCATCTGCGACATGTTGCAGACTACAGTTATAACTTAAGAAACTCCTCTTTAGTAATATCCCGAGTCGAAAAAGATCTAGGAGTCCTGGTGCCCTATGATTCAAAGTCTTACGCTAACTGTGACAAAAATGCCTTGCACTGATAACACCACAGCGCATTCTGGTCAGTTTGACGGAAGAACTTTTATTATAATCTTCAATAGTTTCATCCGTCCCCATTTAGAGTACGGAAACATAGTATTTCCCCCCTCATTTCAAAAGGATAAGGACACCCTGGAGCGTATCCAACAGCGAGCCACGAAATCAGTTCGAGGACTCAAATTTAAACCTTACGAAGAGCGCCTCCATTCACTAGAACTTTATCCATTAGAGTATAGACTATCTTAGAGATGACCTCCTGATGGCTTATAGTATTCTTAACACTTCTGGACATCCTCTCAAACACCTACTTAAGCTTAGTTCCAACACTAACCCAAGAGGTAACACCCACAACTGGAGACACAACATAGCAGAACGGACTCTAGACACAACTTCTACTCCTTAAGAGTTGTCAAATGCTGGAATTCTCTGCTGGCCGAGCTAGTCCAAGCGACTTCCTAGGAGTCCTTTAAGAGGCAACTTGATCTATTCTTATGGACTAAGGATAGTATCACACTATGATTTACTAATTTCTTTTCCTCTTTTATTGTTAGCATACCTAGGTTCCTGCCTGGAGGATTTGGTGATCCCCTGCTACTAGACACGGAAGCCTGTTAAGCGAAAGCTTCTTCTATTCCGTCCACAACCATTTGAACCATTTAAGATTGAATTATATAGCAGAGTCAAATCTGAACGTTCAGGTTGTAACACGTGTAATCGGCAGTCACTGGAAAGCGGGAAGACCTAAATCCACAACACACACAATGTTAACTGAACACTTCACACCACAGAGAGAACATGGAATGGAGACACATAGTCGTTTATTTGAAAATTAAAACTCGCGGGTTCTGAACAGAAAGGAGAGCTAGTTTACAAAGTGGTCTTATAAGGCGTCCTGTAAGTTTAGTGCGTGCAGGGCTTGCTCTTCTTCTTCTAAAGCATTTATTCTTGCTTGCCCTGCAATAAAAAGAAAACAAAGTCCGTTAACAACATCATACATGATGATTTTAATCCCGTTACAAGGTAACTCCAGGGTCACGAAATATACATATTGATGATGAATTAGATAATTTCACCAAGGAATTGTTGCACATTGACTTTATTATGATTGGTTTCACTGAGGAAACATGTTAACCCTTATTGAAAACAGTGGATTGTCCGGACTTCTGTTTTTGGCTTTGTTGTTAACATATAAGGCTATAGATATTATTTCGAATTAAGATAGATGGTTTAATACATAGAGTTTAAGTAAAGGCCCAGGACTATGCGTCAAATTACGTATAGGTTAACTGGAAATCCTAAACCATAATCTTAACTGTAACCCTGAATTCTATAAAGAGACTATAATTTATGGACGAACCAATAAGATATAAGGTGACATGTCTTGAATCTTGGCGGGACATTCATTCATCCATTTGATTAAACAAGGTCATCCATAAGTTATAGTTTCGCCGAATTTTGGTTACATCATTTATGTATACATAAGTCCTAATTCTTAGTTCCGATCTCTATCCATATCTTAAGTTCTATAACGGAGATGCTAAGCTATTCATTTATACTTACTGCCTTCTGAATAGCTTGATAGAATCTGACAAGGTAGTTTAAAGACTCACAAGTCCGCTCTTATACTGCATATAACCAGTGCTTGTAGCTGTTTGTTTTTCTATTCGTGTAAAACATTACTGATCCAGGAGGCTCTGGTTAGAAATTCTAGTGTAGATAACAAAGATTATTTTATCGTCATTAGTAAAACTACGATGAGCGCTACAAAACCGAGAGCCTTCGATAAAGAACGAACTCTTATAGAACAGCAAGCTAATCTTATGTGAAAGTTATATCTCGAGTCACTTCGACAGAGAATCTAGATATATTAGTGACTTAAAGGGTCATATCATGAAAGGTCCAGTTGATGGTGAATAGAAATCATAGAAGAGGCAAAGAAGGAAAGGTCAAATTGTTCCTGATACTATTGCGTGGAGCTTGGAGGGGTCGAGTGACTCGGATCCTGAATCCAGACTTTCATATGCTCCATATTAAGTTGAGCTGTTTGTCTGTCTCATATTCCCGACTTATTCATCAGGTACTCATGTCAAGAACTAATAAGTTTAAGCAAGAGAGCCTATGGTAGTACTGATCCCCCATCACGTATACTTATTAAGGTTCCTAGGGTTTGAGTAACAAAATCTCAAGTTAACTTGTTCTCAGGAGAAAGATAATAGCAATACGCCGGTGTAACTGGAAGATAGAATCAAGAGGAAAACGGGTGTGTCAGAACGAGTAGTCTGGAGACTGTTTAGTGTGACTACAAACTACCACTCGCTACTTATTGAAATAAACAAGACTGGTATGGTAACAAGAAAGAAAATAAGACTACAGAAGGATGCTTTATTCAGCAGTTACTAATTAATACATTCACAATGAGAGTTACATATCATTTTAAATGTTCGGTCAGTGAATAAATTTGGACGAAAGTAACTAAAGTTAGTCAATAATCTAACATGTAGTATGATTTTCATAGTAAATAAATTAATTGACTTGACTGAAAAATATTACTCACTCCTAGTTTGTATGTTTGTTTTATTCCTAACAATAACTACCCCTAGGTTAACTTTACTATTGTTTTGGTAAAATAAATGAAAAATATTATTTGGGCTGGTGTTCCACGTCATGAGGAAGGAATGTTTTTCTGTCTAAGGGACGACAGGCTCTTAGATCACGTCTTTCATGTTATTTGTTTATTATATTTGAACACATCTTTCATGTTTGGCTAATCTGATTCCGTAATTAGATTTGGCTTTAGCAAAAGGTGAAAATATTCCGGTAGATGTAATTTTTATGAACCTCAGTAAAAACTTTGATTAGATCTCTCATTTGGGTCTTTGAGCAAAGTGGGAAGGCTTCGTAGTGGATTATACATCAAGATCAGACTGATGAATTTCTTAGTGATAGGAGGCAACGTGTGAGAGTAAACAGCACCTTGTTATTGTAAGAATATGTGAAGGCTGGAGACTGGTGTTTGTTAGCAGTAAATTCTAGCATGCTCATGGTATGGTAAATAGATCGTTGTGACGAATTATGCAAGTAGATAATAGATGAAGTGCTTTCAACTAACATCAATAATACTATTTTAAAAGCCACAGCAATTAATGAGCACAGAATCATGGGTAACTAAGATGGGCGCTGCCAAAAGTTTCCTTATTTTGTAGGTAATCCGTAAAGCCTGTCATAACTCGGAGGAAAATACATCTAGGATATTCTGCCCGACGTATGTGAGACCTCGTTTGAAATACCGAGTTCAGTCAACGAATCGTTCCAAATATGAAACGGATATTCTGCGACGGGTTCAACGACGAGGAACCAAAATCGCAGTCTTTCTGACTTGTCTTATCAACAGGCTGGGACGCTTCAACCCATTTCTGTTATCCGACAGTAGATCGTGGGGTGACGTATTACAATGTACTAAACATTGGTTTTTGTACTAATATGTTTTATCTTTCTTTTCAGGTAGTCTGAAAGGATATTCTCAGATAGTTCCAAACCAAGATCAAATCGTTTAAATCTGGAGTTGTTAATTACTGGAATTCTCTGATAGAAAACGTAGTATCAGAACTTGTTGATACATTCGAAGAGATATTGTATCTTCACAGTACTATAAATCTCAATGGTTAACATGGGTCACTTGACCTCTTACCCTTACTCCTGAAGACTGACTGCATCCTATGTACGGGCTTACTGAATTTTTGGCTCACATCTCTTGTTCCTTATCCTTCCAAATTTCCACTATTCTCTGCACGTTTTCCAGTACTGATAGTACCTCCAGGGTAGACACGAATAGCTGAATATTTTCATCTCATCAAGGGATTTACTTCTAAGACGATTTTAGCTATCTGACCGAGTTACGCACAACCTGCGTTGTCATATTTCGGTAGGTAACCAAATTCCATTTTACTAAAATACATCCTAATGCATGCAGAAGGTTCTCGCAACTTGACTTTGATTGATAGTTCGAAATTAAGAAATAGTACAGAGTTACACGATCAAAGGGGTTGTAATTCTAGGGCCCCTATTATGTGGGAATTCGATGAGAGAGTTAGGACTGTTGTCTGTGAGCGATTTATTTTGGTGCTCAGTTTTGCCAATATTTGTGTATCTAAATAAATAAAATCACTAACCTACAGAAGACAGAAGGGTGACATCACAACCTGCTCCGACCATTGCAGCAAGGTAATCTTACCAGAGCGTCATCATAGTGACGCACTTGAAAATCCTCACAGGGTTGTCCACTAATAGGAAAATACCAAAGTAACACCTCAGTTTATGCATCATGTATCTGTTCTACATGAAACGCCCTCATAACCATCGTACCTATAGCCTTTTCGATGGACCGTTGCAAGCAAGTATTAGATGAGCATACAAAAGCACATGAACCTCCCTCAGCCAGGTGGGATGACTAGTGAAATCACAGAGTAGGATAAAGTTGGAGTGATCAGCCTCCCCTCCCCACTTACGTATTTGCCTTAATTATCATTTCAATCCTACCTTACTTTTCATTCACACCTAATCAGACATTCTTCATATCCTGTTGCTCTGACTGAGATTAGCTAAACTACTGTTAATATAATATTCTAAGTCCTAACAGTCCTATAGTCCATTGAAAAGAACATGGGAAAAATGAATAAATCAAACTAACTATCACTAGGGCTACTGCATCCGCGAGAAGCCTCACTGAATACGACCAAAACATCCGGAATCGCTAGCTAACAAGAATACGCAAGCTCTCTGACATCAACTCGTATATACTAGCTCGCCACAAAGATATTGAATAGTTTGAGTTAACATCGGGTGTGGTATTTTTAGAATGATAAAGTTTGGTTTACGTTGCTGCTTACGTATACGATTTGTGCGCAGGCCCGGTAAAAAAAATTGGAAGCTTTTAATGGATGATAAGAGATTCAGTTGTTTGTTGTTTTGTAAACTAGCTATAATTTTGTATTAAAATTTCTGTGGTCAGCAATTTTATGGGACTAAGCATGTGATATAGTAACAAACTTTGGAGCCGAAGTTGCAGATAAGCTCATATGCTGCACATATTTTCTTTTTAACTCTTACTATTTTTTATTCCGCAAACATTTACAAATGCATTTGAAAATTTCAGATTTTCAACATTTTGTGAACCATAAGAATCCGGTTGGACTTTTCAGTCTCCAAAATTTAATATTTAAGTTATGACTTCCACTTCACGTCATAGTATATCTAATATTTGGCAATAAAGAGGTGACAAAAAGTCGCGTGCGACTAGTGAAGTACTACAAATTCGCTCTCCATCTGTCGCTTCAAAAGGCTCGTTTTATGTGCGTCTATCCGTGGACCCTGTGGCATCTTCGTCCAGTTTTGCTGGCGTTGGTGTCGCACTAAGCGCTAGAGCTGAGGCAGCACTAATCGATTGGATTCCCGCTAACAGTCGGTTATGTGCTGTTAGATTAGAAAATTATATTAAGGTGAGAAATCTGTGTGAGAGACGACGTATTTTCGTCATCTCCACATATGCTCCGACAGATTGCAGCCCAGATGTGATCAAGGATGAGTTTTACCTCCAGTTAACTGTTCTTCGCCAGAAAGTGCGTCCTACAAATATTGTATTACCAGCCGGAGACTTAAGTGCTCAGATCGGGCATCTAGGCACAGAAGAGATTCGTTTAGGTGGCCGATGGGGACTTGTTGGTCACAGGATAGATAACGGGGGCCGTCTACTGCAACTGTGCACAGACCGTAACCTGTTTCTGGTTAGCATTAACTTCCGGCGCAGCCATCACTGACGTGCCACCTGGCGTCTTCCCTCTGTATCTCAAGCCTGGATTCAGATTGATCACATAACGATCAGCTACCGATGGCGTGGTTGTGCACAAGACTGCCGCTCCTTTTGGAGTACTTATATGAGCTGTGATCATGTCCTTGTTTGCTCCAATCTTACTTTTCAGTGGCCAACGAACTCATCGTCCTAAATGGATTGATGTCGGCAAGTTGGTCGCAACTTCTGCTGCAAGTAAGTATCGAATCGAGCTAGCTTCTAGGCTAGCTACCATCCCACCAAAAAGTATAGGTGATCATTGGTTGCAACTTCATGACGCTATGAAAATGGTGAGTAAAGCCGCTTGCGGCTTCGCGAAACTTCCCGCTTGTAAGCACTGGGTTTCTTCAGGCTTTTATAATTCATCGAAGCCCATCGGTCTACTCCTGGTGACCGTGAGTTTGACCACAAACGAAGGATGTTACGTAATGACTATCGTGGTATAAGTCGACTTCCGATTGCGCCCAAACTCTTAGCTTCTGTCATACTTCGTAGGTTGTTCAAAACCCGAGAATTATTGACTCGCGAGGAGAAGGCTGGTCTTCGTTCTGGTCGAGGATGTATTGACCACATCTTCACCCTCCACCAAATGTTAGAGCACCGTCATACTTATCAAAGGCCAACGATCGTAGTGTTTCTTGACATCAGGGCTGCCTTCGATTCGTTGGACAGGACTACTCTCTAGGATTGTCTATTGAAGAAGGGTGTGCCTGAGAAGTTTATTAACATCTTAAAGGCCCTACATACAAACACCTCAGGCAGAGTAAGGGCACACAACCACCTCTCTCCATTATCCCATTCAAGCAGTGGGGTTAGACAGGGTTGCCCAATCTCACAATTCCTCTTCAACTTTGCCATCGACGACATTCTGAAAACAGCTCTGATGGATGTAAGTAATGGCGGTGTGGATCTGTTGCCTGGAGAAAGACTTCTCGACCTTGAGTATGCGGATGATATTGTCTTACTGTGCGAAAATACCCAAGCCATGCAATCCGCACTTAATCAGTTGGCAATCAGTGTCCGTAGGTATGGTATGTGCTTTGAACCTCCGAACTGCAAAATACTTCTACAAGACTGGCAGGATTCTAATCCTGTACTCACCCTGGATGGTGAGCAGATAGAAGCAGTTGAGGAGTTCGTGTATCTAGGCAGCTGCATAAGTGCTGGTGGTTGTGTGAGTGATGAGATCAATGCACGTATAGTGAAAAGCAGTTTGTGTATTTGGGTGGCTGCATAAGTGCTGGTAGTGGCGTGGGTGATGAGATCAATGCCAACCTGGGCCATCTTTGTCACCTTCGTGTTGTCAGTCTAGCTGTAAATGGTCGGATCTACAACGCGTCGGTGAGAGCAGTTTCGCTCTATGCTTGTGAAACCTGGCCTCCGAGTTGAGGATGTTAAACGACTTTGTGTTCGGTCATCGCTGTCTCCGAAGGATTGCTGACATCCGGTGTCAACACCATGTTAGTAATGCCGGGGTTCGGCGTCGTGTGTTCGGGTGCAGAGACGATAATTCAATTGGTGTCACCATCTTGAAACACCGACTTTGGTGGCTTGGACATGTTCTACGAATGTCGTCCCAGAGAATTCCATATCGTGCATTATTTGCCGACTCTGAGACTGGTTGGAAAAAGCAGAGAGGTGGTCAGTGTATGACATGGTGTCGTGGTATGAAAGAAAGCTGCAAAGAGCTGACTCCTGTTGGTTCTTCACGACTCCCTGACTGGGGTCTGAGAGATGGTGCTACACAGTGGCTAGAGACGTTATCAGATATGGCTCAGAATAGAAGCCAGTGGCGATCCTGCTGTAACCTTTTTTGGTTCATAAAAGGTGACTGTAACTGAAAGAGTTCTTTCTAATTTTACTTTTCTGCTTCCCCCATTATTATTATTTCACTACCACACACTAATTTGTGGTCGTCATTGTTCTTTTTTATACGCAACTTACATTCTTTTTCTCTTCCCATTCTCTTTATTTTTGTGTGGTCCATATGTGTCTGGTGCCCCCCTGTACGGATATGTTTGTGTTCAAATAAATAAATAAAGTATAAGGAAACATGAAATCAATATTGTGGTGAAATAGATTATTGAAATCCCTGTTTCAAGTCCGGGACCTACTTTGATTATCAGTATTTACACTATTAAAGTTTTGTCCAGAAACTGGGAAACAATGAAAGGCGCCTAAGCAGTTTGTTGTAAGAAGTGAGTCTATTGGTAGAAGTAGAAAGTATATGCAAGGGATAATTATCAAACAAATGTGTCCAATTTTTATTTCATCTCATTTTCTTAACTATTCGAAGTTTAAAACGTAAAAGTAGAACGAACAACTCCAGGTAGTATTTATTAAAATAAAAGGATTTAAGTATTAATAGACTCAATTTGTGACGCCACAGAAAAAGTTTGCAAATTGAAACCAATTTTAAGAAGGTGAAGAGAATGTAGGCCGTAAAGTGAAATTAAATAACGAGTATTAAAATCTTTCTGCTTCTGAGGCAAATAAGAAGTAAGAGGATTTGCACTCCTCCAGTTGATTTCAAAGGACGTCATTTTGGGTCTTCAACTATTGGTTACTACTACCCTATGGGCCGAACCCTGAATGTTTGTACCTCCTTACGTTACTCGGTTAAATAATTCATATCTCAGGTCACCCGTCTACTCTGAACTGTGATGGTTAGATTTGAAGAACAAATAAAAATAACCAGATCAGCGTAAAAAATCATTCTGTGAGAAATGTATATTAGTCCAAGTAATAAATGAAGCCGCTGTCTGAGTACATTTTTCCAGAAAATCGTGTTAGGTAGTCCAAGACTAGATGTCATATTTGATATGGAGTCAACTTTCTTCCTGTGAATATTAAGTATTTGTCAATTCGTTGCCTTTTATTCCTTGCTGAGGTCCTTTTCTGCGTTTCTCTCTTAGTTTGTTAATACTCGTACGTTCACTATTCTTTTTCTGGTTTTCTTGTTAATGTTTCTATCCTATGCTGATACTTGTTCTAGCTATTTAGAACTAATTAGGGTTACACACTGGTTTATATATATAGTAAAACTTTCGTAAATTATTCTTCTTGTTCCAATAACCTATTTTTATTTTATTTTAGTCATAAATGTATGAACTGCTTGAGTACGAGGCTTCTATTCTTGTCGACATTCACCACGAAAGCTCATTGCTGGTGCTTGCTGATGGTCTGGGAATGGATACAATTATTTATAACACACTAAGGTTACATTCAGATCCTCACAACTTAGTGCTTGTTTCGAACTATCGTCTCCCAGAAGCTCGTTTTCTAACAGGTATACTGGAAAAGAATGGAATAATCCACTCTCCTGGAATAATTACTGCCGAGGTAAATAATAAGGAACGTGAGGCAATTTACAAGCGAGGTGGTGTGGTATTTGTCAGTTCTCGCATATTAGTTGTGGACTTACTGATGGAAAGAATGCCTGCCACTTTGGTTTCCGGTGTCTTAATTCTTCGAGCACATGAGCTACACGAGGCTTGTCAAGATAGTTTCGCTATTCAGCTTCTCAGAGAACGCAATCCGCAGTTGTTTATCAAGGCTTTCAGTGATAATTCATTGTCTTTGACTTCTGGTTACAATCATGCAGAAAGGATTATGTTGCAGCTGGGTATTTCAAAGCTTGTTCTTTGGCCAAGATTCAATATGCAGGTTATTTCTTGTCTAAATGAAAGCCAACCTGATGTGGAAGAAGTTCGCGTAAGATTTTTTATACTATAACTATTGCTATTACATTTTGGAATGAAAACACATACCCACTAGCGATTATATTTGTAGGATGAATACATTTGTGCATCTCGATCTTATCTTTGTGGTTTGGTCGTTGATAAACTTACACTCAGAAGATCCTAAATTGGATTGATCTTGTATTTATACTTATTTCAACATCTTTAGAAATTTACTAGTTAATTATCTTACGTAATCTTTGTTTTATCAGGTAAAGTTGACTTCAGAAATGATTATTTGTCAGTCGTGTATACTTGACCTTATGAAGGCCTCATTGAAAGAATTATGCGATCAAAATCCAACACTAAATACGGACGATCTTACCTTAGAAAAAGCTCTGTTACCGAATTTCGACAGTCTTGTAAGTTGTTCATACCTTTCAACTTATCTTAAAGTATTGTCTTTAAAAGTCTGCAGTCAACATTTCGTAGATATTTCAAATAAATTACCATTTTTAAAACCGAAAGTGACTCTAGAGGACTAGTAGATACTTTTCGAATATCTGACCAAAAAATTAGGTGGACTGGTGAATTGAGAATCTTATATAACACGTTAATTACGTTATGTCTAAATTGTAAACCACTAATTATATCTCATTATGGATGTAAAAATGTCTAGATGAACCTTACTAGAAATTTGTTGGGTATAGGAAATATATCGAGAATGGTGTATACCATATATTTTTGAGATGAATTGGGTTTAAGACCTGAGGTGGTAATGACGTGATGATAATTCATGTATCCGTGAAATTGCTAGTGTACTTGGGAAATATCGAGTTAGAGCATTTAAATCCAACCAGTAATAAGTGGTTTCACCTGACTTAAGTGTCTCGCGACTAAAATGTCGCAGACCAGTTTCATTTTTATACTATATTCATACTTATTTTAATAAAATATTAAAATAAGAGTAATGTGTTCTCAAAGTGATAAAGAGCTGAGGACTTCCTGACTGTTAAATTGATATGGGTGGAATATTGTTTGCCAGTAGGTCGACCTCTGGGCAATGTAATATCACTTTTTTGTGTGGTCATGCATCTACTGCCGTGCATTGTTTCGTAATGTTTTTTTTGCGACTCTGTCTGTTAGTGCGTCTTTACTCATTGTCATGTATAACTAAATTATTTTAATAACTAATCTTGATCTAACAATAGTATAAAGACACAAGTTCTCTTTATTCGACTAAGGTTATTTATCCACCTTGTAAAATTGACACGTTAACAGTCAAGCCGACTTTTTCATAGTGGTAATAAGATTGAAGCCGATTACCACTAGATCAGCTGAAGCCAGACAGTGGGCAAATAAATGAGAAACACGAAAGTAAAGCCAGAAGCTTGCGATTCTACCACAGCGTGTAAGATTACATATATCTGTTCCACGAGAGAGCCTTTGTGTCATGAGTCCAGTAATGCTGAGAGGCGAAAGTTGATCAGTTAGTAAATGTGATTTCCGGCAATCTAAGCTTACGAAGCCTTGTCGTTTAATTGTTACAGCTCCATTTTCAACATGTATTTCTGTGATTAAAAATTCTTTTTTTCGAACGAAATATCAACTGCTCACATTTCTATCTTTCATCCAATTAAATAAGGTCTCGTTATACGTTGACCCTGTATGGAATCAGCTCAGTTCAGTCAGTCGACGTCTTGTCGGAGATATTTCAAGCTTGAGGCGTTTACTCCACTTATTGATTGAAGGAGATGCTGTCAACTTTTTAACCAATATGGAAGGTTTACGTCAAGCCGCTTTAGCAAGTTTAGGCGTAACTCAAAAGAGTGAAATAAATTCAAAAAGGGCTGCTTCAAGAGGTTGTCCTAGTTGGTTTTTGATGGATCAAGCTGATCGTCTTTTGGCGTCTGCAAGGTCTCGTGTATATGCTGATTACAGCAAAAGTATGTTCCTACATTTTTTTAAACTACTGTAAGTACTTTCGTTGACAGCATTTTATGCTTTGTCAACTATTCATTTTCATATTCATCTAAGTTTTCAGGGATTAAAACAATTCGTAATTATTTAATTTCGAAATAACTTGTTCACAGTTAGCTTGATAGTATGGTTACATAGTTGTGTGTCAAAAATCTTTTCAGTAATCCTGGCTGATAGAGTTTGCGGAGTAATATCAGTGAGCTGAGATATTCGTCAATAAATATTCAGTTAAATTTTCAGTGTTTAAAGTGCGAAATCGTAATGGGAAATTCCAGGAGTTTATATATTATCTAAATTGATCTTTATTAGTTGGTGTTTCAAATTCCTTTTCATGGCTCAATGACCTTTATTTATCTCATTGAAATTCCATAATTTCATTTCTGTTAAGCGAGAATAACAAATTCGATAGGAAACAGTGAATTCGTTGAGAATTTCTTTGTCTCTTATTCAGCAACGTATAAGGTAAAATAAATAATAGATATAAGTGATTAAATATTATGACATAACTAACAGTGTATTTTATTAACAAACCAATGGAAGCCAACAGTATGTAATCCGACCGTTTGATTAAGTGTTAAAAACTCAATCGTCTTTTTATTTGCAGTATCCTAAAAGATATTTTGTTCGTTGGATCATATCTACAACGCAAAATTCATCATATATTTGGTCAGTTTGTCATCAAATACTTCTTGTGGATGTTTGGTTTCCGAAGTAAAATTTATGTTTGTGGACGCGTGAAAATATTGTATCCTTAAAATGCACTACAGTGAATTCTTCCATATTGAGCCTAGATACCATTCCGTTCACGAGTCATTGTTAGCAGATGGATCGTTTCCTGAAAATTCACTCACAAACGACCAATAAATTGATGTCATATCAGTAACAATGATTAAATTCTCAAACCGCTCGCGTACATTTACATCAGGTGCTGATTCTAAACACATAATAAAAAATTCTATTAATCCCAACTAATTTTCCCGTCATCATCGGTGAACAAACCTTTTGTTTTTCTTTCATGCTGTAAATCGTTTGGAACTTGATCAAGAGTCATTCGGAGGCTTGGTACGAGTTTGGTTGAAGTGTACTTCAAGAAGTATTTACGTTGGGTTCATTACTATGTTGATATTTCGATCCACGTAGCTAGTAATCGAGTCATAGCATCCGCGATAGGTATTTATGACGCAGTGACAACTTATCTAGATGTGAAGTTGGCTTTTTAATAGTACATGAACCTAATGAAGCTGTAACGTAGTGATTACGTACAACAACATTAAATCCTTCTTACTACATCCTGAAACTCATCATCAGCGAGATGAATTCCCTGTAATATAACGAAGTTTTCTATGATCTTACTGCTAATGCTGTTTTTGATTCTTGATCCAAGTATTATGGAAATTTGTTTTACTTTGAGTTTGCTCATCAAGGTGCCTCACGAAAATCGTCGCCATTTCCATGCAAACTGGGTATCACTTAACAGGAAGGTACTCATTTCATATTACCATATCAACTACGTGGTCGTAATTTCAAAGACATTATTCCAAATGTTTGAGACCAGTGTTCACTATTTAAGACATGGTATCAATCCATAAAATACAAAGCGAAAAACTAATGACTTCGTTACGTATGAAGGCATTGCTAATCTATAAAGTGAGTACTTTAAATTACTATCTTTTATGGATGACCAATCCAAGTGCCTAATTTTATCCGTGAACTCCAATACCCTAAAGATGCGGATATTGACATGCATCTATTGAGTAAGATTGAACAGGACTCCCAAATAACACCGTACAGTTACTGAAGTATGTCAACGACTTATAAACTTTAAAAGTGACGAGGAAATCTTTCAGCACCCGGGAAAACTCAGTTCAGTACATATAGTTTTAGCTTCAAATCATTCACCTAGCCAGTCCTCCCGAACCAACAACACAAAACAGCCTCCATTAACATGTCAATATTGCAGTGGATAGCATTTTTACCACTTTTGTTATTTCGAAAACAACATTGCAATCAATAATGCAGCGAAGTCGGACACAGAAATGATTACTTTGAATAACGTTGCAACATAACCAAATTTACTGTGAGGCGAAGAACTCCTCCCCCAATCCAAGCGTGACACTAATTCAAGGATCCGCTAGGGGTATAAATTTATCGCTAGCAGCTGGTGGATATATTACTTACTATCAAATAGACATTACATATATCATGGTCGTGTCGACCGAACTGTGAAAATACGTAAGCTGAGCAACATTCCACGAAACGCGTCAGGTTATGAAAGTGCAATGGGGTATCGCACCTCAAGATATTACTAAATTGTGATGCTACATATCAATCGGAAACAATCTCTAAATTATGTTATATTATTGGTGTGAAGGTAAACTTACTTGGTCTCTACTGAATTAGTTCTCTAAGGTTCCGCAGTCTGTTCGGACGTTGACGATAATTTCATTTTCTTATCCATATGAGTCTCATTCTGGTACCCATTTGTACTAGTATTTATGTATTTTAAATAAACAAATAAAAATGATTACTTTTTTGCTACCGCATCCAAGCAGATTATGTGAGTTTAGTATTTTGATTGGCTACAGGAAGTAGCAGATAAGGTAATAGCTGCTTCGAATGAAACACAGGTACCGTTAAGTAGTTTGGATTTTTGTTCATTAGCACAAGTCGTCTTTAAATACTTCAGGAAACTCTATAATTTGATTTGGTAAGTCTGCTATTAAAGTCCTTTGTACTTGAAGGTATATATTATTTAATAACTGCAAATATAGTCCCAACTTACTTATTCAGTCCAGACCATATAAGTGCACGTTAGCTTCAGCAATATAACACGATTCATATGTGATTACACCTTGAAATGTATTAAAATGAAGTGTTACCATTTGATTCGATCCAGAAAACCTATGGGATAAAAGGGTTAATATCTTGTTGATATTTTAAAACGTGGTTTTTTGTAACCTCCCCGTTTGTTTCCGAATTTCTAGTTTTCTTCTCTCTTCATAAGTAATTATCATCTAAATATCTTAAACTGATAGTAGTTGCTGATATCACAATTAATTGATTCTAAATTATTTTAACGGCTATGATATTTCAACCAAAAAGCTCTAGTTTCCCCATAACTTTTCAATAGTTCATCCATATAGGGGCTATTAATTCGTAGTTCACTCAAAGTAAGTAAAATAATCACTTGTTTTTTTATCAAAAAAAAATTATCATAGGATTTATTGTTTTGTAATTTTTATTTTTTCGACTTATACTTTTATAGAATTATTAAATGTTGAGATTAGTCCTAAATGGAAAGCACTTGTTGAACTACTAAAAGAAATCTATACCAACACAACTGATCAAACATTAAGTAATACCATATTAATTCTTGTCAGTCGTGAAAATACAGCAAGGTATCTTGAACGTTATTTACAACGTGGAATACAATCTATTAAGAAGTTTCTTGTTCAAACTTCAGATTTACCTGAGTTACAGTCGCATAAAATACTACAGAAGGTAATGTATACAGTATGAAATAAAATTATGTATATAATTGACGTTTGCATCTCAGTTAAATGATTTTGTTGTTGAATAGAAATAAAGAGAAACCAGGGATAAATCGACGAAATCAGTCACTTAAGCTGTACATTTGTAGTTGTTTGATGAATATGTCACCAAAAAGATAGAAAAGATCTCATCGTAAAGTGATTCGAGATTTCAAGTATCAAGTGAGATTGCATAATAATCAGTGGGTTAGAGGAAAATAGGAGAATGAACATAATTTCCGGGTCAGAATTATGAACGATAATTGTTCATTTGACAGATATGATGAAGAATGAAAAACATAAAGGTCGTAATAATAATAGGACAATAATCATGAAAAGTTTGTTAAAGGATGATAATGACTGATTACAGTTTGAAATTACAAAGCAATAATAAAAACAAAACAAGACCAAAACATACTGCAGAAGAGAGTTACGAACAAGGAAGTATAAGAGGTTGAACGCATCGTTTTCGCATTTCAGAGTTCGGGCTTGAATTGGTGAATTTCACGATCAAACGTTAATTTTCAGTATAGAATTGTGGAGATTGTTGAGTTCCGCTGAAATCATGGTGGACCACCATTGATCGGTTCATGATTTCAACGAAATATATATTTATTTGGCCAATATACACAACTACTAGTATTTTGTTTTGTGGTAGTTTTATTTCCCTCCAAATTATCATTCTAACTTTCTTGTGCGCTAAATTTCTCTTTTTGTTTTTCTTTGTAAAAAAAACGAAAAATAGTCTGCCAAATTAATGAATCCGAAATCGTCTGGAGAATCATCCGTAACTACTCTAACACAAATTTGCAAAAAATATAAATTTGATGAATTGTGTGGAGATAATGATGACACTTCATCCTCATCAGAGGAAAATTGTAAAATGGATAATACTGAAAAAATCACTAACAATGATAATCGTTTGCCTTTAGGATGTCATGAAGTTAGCATTCATCCTAGTTTATTAATTTCATCCAATATAAAGATGTCTAATTCACTCAAAATTATTATACGTGTAACACCAACATTTTCAGGTGATGAAAATAGTCAGTTTTATGGGTCAGCAAAAGATCACCAAGATGAGTCCGATTTATTTGTACAACAATATGGTTATCGATTATCATATATTTTAGATGTACTTCAACCTAATTATGTGATATTATATGAGCCCAAATTATCATGGGTCAGAGAATTAGAAGTGTACAATGCACGTCTTCTAATTCAACATTTCTCAAAAAGTGACTCTTCAAGTAACATCAGAGAGCTTAATAATTCTTTACCTTCATTAAAAATATATTTTGTACTGTATGAAAATTCCGTTGAAGAACAACGATATTTAACAAGTTTACGTAAAGTACGTTGATTTTCAGCTCATTTATTTTTCTCAGACATTTATCATTTTTATAACTTAGTTGTGCAAAATATCAGTAATTACTCTTCAGAGTGGACTTTTTAAATATACGGTGTGGTTTCATTTTAGGTAAAAACATGTAACACCAAACAATTCTTTTTACGGACTCGACTGTGTAGCATAACTAGTTGTGAAGCTACAGAGATTAACACGTAAATTTAAGATTCCCTACGTTCTTTTCGTATAACAAATGTGTGGGTGACCTGAGAAATAACATTGAACATGAATATGGTCGAAAGCCTCAAACTAAGAGAACTTTGATTTACTGTTCACGGTAATTAATGGGGATGTCTTCATTACAAATTTTGTAATACCTCGACAAAAATAATTAACATAGTCACAAATGGTTATGTAAATATTATAGATGAGAAAATATTATGGTAAAGTAGATCAGTTCAAAAAATGACAAGATCACTAGTAAAATTAACTAGTTTTTCTAACACTTCCGAAACAATTTCCCTTAATGTATTCTATAGCATGTATCCCTCTAGCCGAAAAGTACGTGTTGAAATGTCTGAAGGTGTCACTTCTATTATCTGTTAATCTGACTAACTGCATTATCTCACCCGCTGTCATACATATATTTTTATCCGTACTTTTCCCCACGGCCTGTTATAGCAGACAAATTTTGAGCGCTGCTGTCACGTCCACACTTAGGTTTCAGACGCATCTTAATGTTGGAACTGTAGCGTTCAAGGTGGTCTTTCACTTTTTTCCTATTCTCACCTATCCACTAGGTTGTCTATTTAATGCAGTTCCGCCTCATTTCAAGTAGGCAAACACCAGAAATATTCTGTCATTTCAATTTAAACATCTTATTTTCGAACTTCGAGTAATATTCGTTAAAGTGTTGTTACTACAATGTTTTCAGCTTGGCTGTTTTCTTGGATGTTGTTAGTCGAATTTTTGTTACTCGAAGGTCAATTTATTATGGTCGACTGCCTTTAGTATTCTATTCTATAGTCATTAATAGCTTATTTCAGACCTCTTTTATGTGCATCAAAATCGTTACCTGGTTTATTGAACAACAGGAAAGTAAACTGTATGTATAATCTGTTTTCTCTTCCAAAGGAAAAAGAAGCATTTGAATCTCTTATTCAGCTAAGTAGCACTCTTGTTATACCAAAAGATACAACAATACCATATGGAAAATTACACGCAGGTGATAATCAAGCAGTGTCTCGTGTAATTGTAGATATGCGTGAATTTCGTAGTGAGCTACCAGCACTTTTACACAGAAAAGGATTAAAAGTAAGAAACCTACTTTCACACTTTATTTGTACGTATAGTTCTGTTAATAATATTGGATAGTTCTTTTACTTAAACAGGATGTAAATTGATGAAAAATACTTACAGCTCAGCATTTGGCTGATTAACTCGTGTTGCTTACTAAGTTTGTGTCTGTGATAGTAAATGTTCTAATGTTATAAAAGTCAGCATCACTAGCTGAAGTTCTTAGTAGATCACATTAGCCAATCGTCATCACTGAATACTGGAGTATTCAGAAATCAAGTGTTCATATATGTAAGCTTACAGCTAAATATTTACGAATTCAGAGTTGTTAACTTCTGATTGACGTAGAAGGGGTTTATATATGTAAATCAGTATGAAATATTCACTGAAAGTGTTAGAATTTTATTGACGAAGAAACTGGCTATTCATTAATAAAATCAGAAACTCCAGAATTGTTTGAAATGAGTTAACAGTTTCACTCCGTTATATACGATCATTTTCGCATAATTTGTCAGTCACAGTGAAAGATCATATAACATAAAACGATAACGATATACACATAACCTCTAAGTACCAAATTTCTAAGATATAGAAGAATTCTTTGTATGGATTTTTCCGTCTGAGCCTATTATCTATGAAAAGTAAGGAGACATCAAAAATACTTAAATTACATGGACTCAGAAAATTATTTTGTAGACAAACTTTGTGATGTGTTTTATATTACATAAGAATTGAGCTTTCGTTAAACTTTTAACCAGTCGTTGAAAATAATTTTGAAAGTGCCTTATGATTTTCTCATAATCTTTGCTGTTAACAGGACATTATTATCCTGTTACGGAATTTTTTATTGTTTTAAAAAATTCCATTCCAAATGCAGTCGAATTGTTTATTTTCAAGAAATGTTTTCTATGAGATGATTGTTCACCATTAAACTAGAACTATCATGAAGTATCAGTTTCGACACTCATATTCATTGATTTAACTGTAATTTCTGTTCATACATAATTTGTTCTTTTTGAATAAAATTAATTAATCCTATTTGTTTGCTTATATATATATATATATATATATATATATATATATATAGGTAGAACCTATGACTTTAAGTATTGCAGATTATATTCTTGCTCCGCATTTGTGTGTTGAAAGAAAATCTGTTAGTGATCTCATTGGTTCTCTTAACTCTGGACGACTATATCATCAAGCTACTGCAATGTCACGTCATTATGCAAGTCCAGTTCTCCTAATTGAATTTTCTATACATAATAAAGGTAATCATCATTTGTTCATAACTATTTTAATAATAAAGCAGCAGAATAACTGAGTACGTGATTACTGATTAGATTATGTATTACGCTTACCATATGAGAACATGTTGTATCACCTGGTTACACAGACTAAAGTTTAGCCGGGAGCTCCAACTCCACTTCTGAAAACATCAACAGAATCAGTGTTTTACAGTTACAGATTATTCTGAGTAATTGAGAGCTGTCTATTCGATATCCTAGATCTTTCCAATGTTTGGGAATTTCATTGGTAAAAATCTTTTTCTATTTCCAAACATGCTCCTAAAACTGAGCATTTTAACTCCTAGTTATTCCTGTATATGTTTTTGAATATATGTAAATTGTATGGCATTTGGTAAGAACTATCCAACTTCTTAAACTTCTGTACATAAATCTTGTTTGCAATATATAACCTGGTTGTATAATATAATAAACCACAATGCGTCTTAGATACTACTATGTATGATGATAATTTCAAATTGTTTAGTCTAAGAAATTCAGATCCACCACTTACTTCGAGATGACGAACTCGTTTGTGTCGTTAACCGTCATAAAAATATGCAACTTGCAATCTGTTCCCTGTAAGTAAAGTACTTGGTTGAACCTATATTATTCTCTTATTTTTATCAACAAACAATCACTTTTTATATTCCTTTTCCGTTCTAACATAGTTTCTAGTTTAAATCATGGGAGTACAAGAGGATTTCATGGAAGTGAAGCAGTTGGTTTTACCTTGTACACTGGGCGACATGCAATTAACCCTAGTTCAGAGTTTAATTCCCATCATCTTTTATCTAAACTTGTTTTGCTCACTATCCACTTTCCTAATCTACGAATATTTTGGAGCATGACTCCCTATTGTACTGCAGAATTGTTTGCGGAGATCAAACTTGGTCGACCAGAACCAAGTGTTGAAAAACTTCCTCAGGTATGAGCTTTTTTCCAGAGTTACTGATGCTTTTAACGTACTTTGAAGATTTAGATCCATAAGGATAAACATTGTTTTTTGTAGCAATTATTAGTGTCTAGTATGTTTTTATCGCGTCTATGTTTGTTAACTCCTTGATCAGTTTACCCACTAATATACAGGAGACAAGTTGTTTAAATCTAGATTAAGTTTTTGACATGATAAGCTGACTGGCTCAACATTGAGGCTAGAATCGCGTGAGTTCGAAGTGAGACTAACAGCCTTGGGTGGAGAGACGAAAAATGTTCTACCACCTGATTGGTCGACAAGTGCGCACAAGCGAGAAGACGAGTCAACTGGGACACTATTCGATTTATCATCGATTCCGATTTAGGTCAGTGCAAAAAGATACATGAATAGATGACTAACATGACCACAACGCACAAACATTTAGAAAAATACGATTACGTCCAAAACTGAGGATTAGGGTAGAAAAAAGAGTACAAAAGATTACGTTTAAATTACAATAGCTTTGGAACAGAAAAGGCTATGGCAGTGAATCATATATCAAACGAAAACTTATGGTCCGTGAAATAAACTAGGGACAAAACTGAATGTTAACGTTTTACAAGCTTTGAATGACGTAACATAACGTCATTTCAGGGTTTTGGAGGTCATAAATTTTTTGATGGAGATCGTGAACCGATTGATGTTAGGCCACTATTGAAAACTTGGAAGCACTAGATGGCCGTTTCGTTCTATTGTTGGACTTCTCAGCAGTGCACATCCACGATCCCACTCCTGGGGGTCGAACTCAGGGCCTTTAGTCTCGCGCGCGAACGCTTGACATCTAGACCATTGAGCCGGCATCCAACGGTGTTAATGTCTAACCTCAACCAATCCATGAAATTGCGCGACCATCTTCCACTGTAGATAGATAGGTAGGTAGATACTTGTCTCTATCCGACTAGGATTAACTCCACTGGTCACGACCTATCATTAGAACCAGAACCGTTGGATGCCGGCTCAGTGGTCTAGAGTTCAAGCGTCCGCGCGCGAGACTGGAGGCCCTGGGTTCGAATCCCGCGGGCGAGATCGTGGATGCGCACTGCTGAGGAGTCCCACAATAGGACGAAACCGCCGTCCAGTGCTTCCAAGTTTTCAATGGTTTAACATCAATCGGTTCATAAAATAACTTACTCAAAATATCTTGTTTTTTGTCATGGCTTCTTATTTCTCTGTTCGAATGAATGCTTTACTCTTTCAGGATGGTGATCATTTAGAGGATCATAATGTTGAGGCTGTTGACATGCTATTAAAATTACCAGGTGTATCATGGAAAAACTACCGGCGCATAATGAGTCATGTTTCTTCTTTATACGATTTGGTTAACTGCAGTATGGAAAGGTTAGCAGAAATTTTGGATAGCAGGTATGGCCGTTTACTGTTTTTGACATTCTGCTTTTTCAAAATACTTCTAGCATACGAAGACTCATTCATTGCTTCAATTTCGTTATCTCACGTGGCTCTCTGAGTAATGCCATGTGTTAAGTCACCAATCAGAATCCTAATCCCAATTCGGTCTAGTGTCTACTATTAACTCAATATCCTAGTGCCCTCGAACTGACCAATCACATGCCCGACTAGCGCTATTGATTTTGGGCCGACAGTCCCCACTGCTCCATTATTTGCGAGCCTCTCTCCACGCCCCACTTTGAGACCAAAAGTAGTAGCCAGCCTCCACTATATTTGTATTTTAAACAGATATGGTTTAGATACAAACATACCACACCGCATCACACCATAAAATAAAGAAATAGTAGCTATACAAAAGTGACTATGAATAGGGGAGACTGTAAGTAATAAATTGGCAACAAATTTAAGAATATTAAGTCGTAAATGAGTAATTAATGTATTAACTGAAAGCTTATAGTAAATGGAATAGGAATACACAGTAATCCAGTTGTCTAGTGACTATACAACAAAACTAATATTAATATAATAAACCAGTCCCAATTCTTACACTATTTGTTCCGTTATAATTAATTTCAAATCCTTTTTGTTCTCAAAAGTGGTGTATGATCGTCATCAAAATACACCTCAACTAGTATATAACATTATGAGGATTTAAAATTAACAAAGATACAAAAATGTGGTGGAAATAATCAGAAAAAGACAAAGCTATACAAGGTACATTCAGCAGAACTAATGTGTTTTTAAAGTTCTGATGTCCGTACAGAACAAGGTAGAGCTGGCTTAAACAGTGGTCTTTGTCATCTTAAAGTGTTGTCGGATATTATTTAAGTCATCAGAGTTTCACAATATCTACTATTTTATGTGGGAAATTAGTAACAAATATTATCCTAACAAACTATTCTCCACTGTGTATCGCATCAATGGACATATGTATGTTATAGTTATCTTTAAAGATGAGCGTGATAGTAACTTCACCGAGCTAAAATGTAATGATTCTTGAAAATGCACTGGCAATATATCCGCTGTCACGCGAATTCCAGTACTATGAGCTACTTCAGGATCTGTATGTCATTGAATAAATTGCCAATTCCCAACTGTACAGTACAGAATACGGTTAAATTAGTTGTTACAATATTTCATGATTCGTAAAGGTTTTCTTCTGCTATCACCTCAGCTTCATAGTTTTCGATCACTCTACTTTATGATAACCACCCATCACTTGTGTGTACATTCTTTAAAGATATTTTACCTAATTCTTCCTTATATTCAGTATTGACTTATGAGAATCAGCAACTATCGTGAAGTTACAAGACCACCAATTAAGAATTTTAATAGTCAGGCATTCAGTCACAACTAATAAGAACTTTTCTGAAAATTTCAACCTTGTGATTGCAACTAATAACAAACTACATTTCTCAGCGTAACGATAGCGTTAATGTTCAACCATAACAAATTTCCAGGGTTGACCACTTAAGATGTCAAATTTTAACTGCAGAGCTGCCAGGTGAATGTGATGAATATTAAGAGATATTCACAAATTTAAGACTAAGCTAATCATCTGCATATTTAAAACTTCCGCACATGCATGGAGTATTTTCTATCTAGGCTCTGCTCTAAGCGGTTGATGTCGGACGTCAAAAAACTCGTTTCTATTGTTCAACAAATTGATTTCTTCTGCAAATCAGATTTGAGTCCTATTCTGAGTGGATTACCCCATGTATGACTGAATTTTATCGTAGATGTTGGTATCTTCAAAACCAAACGAGTGATATCCTGTGATGCATTCTAAGATTTTCTGTTAGACTGACTAAATATCGTTGTATTATGATAGGGAGAGCCTAAGGTGGGAATCAACATTTCAGGTACCTTGGTCAGTGAGGTAGAAATATACTCATTGAGATATATGGTTCTGCGGGTAGCAGCAGTTATGTTTATTGTCGATTCGTATACTATCGATGGAAATACATAATGATCATCGTATCAGA